TAAACCTAAGCTTCGGTACAAAAACATCGTCTGACTATGTCAAACATAACATTTCTCTAGTTGATTTGACAACGTCTATCTAATCATAATAAAAAATTTTCTCGAATTTCGAATCGCCGATACTTTAAATAAATGTGTTCGTAGAATCCATCATTCCTTGTTGGAAAGCGTGATTTTCGCCAAAAACTTCTATTTTTTGAGATCTTGACGTGGTTGGATAATCTTCAATGTCTAATGTGATTTAGAGTTTTTCTTATTCTTGCGACAAAGATTTCTCGGTCATTTTACATGCTAGAAAGCTCGGAAAAGTTTTCAACTGGAGAAAAAATTGTACTGTACAATTTAACAGAGTTGGAATAATCATTCACGACTTATTTTTTGAAAAAAAATGAACATTGGGCTCTGTCAAGTTGTGGAAGCAGATCTTGGCTATATTTTTCTGTTTGTTTTTATTTTTCATCCAGGTATGGCCTTGAACAAAATTTATATCATCGTGGTAATCGTATTATATTATTTGAATGTTTATTGGCAACAACATATCGTTGGTTAAGTATTCTTGAGAATGAAGTTTATTCTGGTAAACATTTATTTATACGTACAAGTCAACTTATTGAAAGATTTACTCATGACAGTTTATTAGAAACAAATATTGAATATCGTCGACAACTTATAAAAATACTTCAATATTATATAAATCGTCTTCAATTATTTGCTATTCGTCATTTAAAACATTTTATTGAACTTATTGATGATTCTATTGATAATCGTTTGTTACGATTTGATTCATTAAAATTACTTTTAAAAGTTATTGAAGTACTTAAACCAAGAATTAATGTTCATCGATATGATATTATGAAAATAATAATTCGTTGTTTATTTAAGATTATACATGAGGAGAAAGAAAATAAAACAATAATGAATATTCTTAAAAAATGTTTAAAAGAATTTAATTTATGTACGATAGAAGAAAATTATGTTCAAGATGCTCTTCGATCATTAATTGAAACATCTCAATTAGATTTATTTTATCGAGAATATTTACAAAAACTTCTTGAAACTATTGAAGAAAATTAATGTTTTTTTTTTTTTTGTTATTTCAAATAGGATTTGAAAAATGAGTCAATTTTTTTTTTTCATAATGCGTATTTTATTGATGACGTTCTGGAGTACTTACAAATGGAGTAGAATACAAGAAAAAAGAATAGAGGAAAATTCAATAACATAATGTTGATCAGATCATGATGAAAACATGATTGTAAAGCATAAATAAATAAAGACTAAGAATTGAGAGTCCATCTTAAAGTATAGAAGGAAGATGAAAAAAAATGGACACAAAAGGTTAAAGAACAAGAGAATTCAAAAATGGAGGTGAATGTTTATGTCATAAGTAGTTGTCATATTTTATTTATTTTCAGCAAATTGTAACCATAATTCTCAAAATAACTATGTTTATTCTTCAGTTCTAACACCCATCTTTACTGAAAATGATGCCCTGGCTCATCATCTTTTCTTTTTTTAAATTCGCTCCAGAATGAAATATCGTTGAAAAAACAGTGACCGTAAAAGATCTGACTTATAGATTTTATTAAATTTTTTTTTGACATATTGTTTAACTTAATAATCTGAACTTTTTTCGTTGGTGAAGAAATACAGCTCTCGTGTTACTACCCATGGGCATCGGTAGACTGATCCCAGGTCTACTCTGGACTTTTGTCAGATCAGTTCTTGTTCAATATGCAGGACAATGGGGAAAAGGCAGCAGAGCCAACAAAAAAAATGAGAATGAAAAAGTAAAAAAGCATTGCCACAATACACGGATGTAGATCATTCTGCTGCGTTTCAATCATTTCATTTTCGTATGCGATTATTGAATCTTTTCTAAACAATTTGTAACAGATTTATATATGGACAACGTACTAGTTCAAGTGTATCGGAGATGTTTGAAGTCGCTCATATGCTCAAGTAGGAGACCGCTGTCAATACTGTTAGGAAGCGTAGACTAGAATTCCACCCGTCCCAAGGCCGGGTAGAAAAGTCGGCTGACTGCAGAGCCTGAAAGATATTAGAACACGACTCCCTATGACATGTACTATTTCAAAATCTTAGACTCACATAGAGGAAATCATAATAGTGTTGAATACAAATGACAATAAACACTATTGAATCTAATTATAAAATTTTCTCTGTACCTATTGATTTTTCTTATCACCATCATCATCTGACAGATATATGCCATAGAGAGATTTCTGTAAACATTCAAGACTCCTTCATGGATTAATTTAAGTCACACACGACGATAATTAAAGTATGCATGCGTACAACATCTAAGATATCAATGGTCGCTTTAGTTGACTCATACGTTACCATATAAGGAAACTATCAGCTGTTTATTATTGTTTTCCTCATATCTTATATCTCCCGAATGCTGCTGAATTTTGAAAAGTGGATTTCAGATGTGCACTAGTCACGTTTTCACGATCTTCCTAAACTTTTCTTCGACTGAAAAGGATGTTTAGGTACTGAGAACGAGTGGCTGACTCGAATTGTGACTCATGCGTCGAGCGGAAGAAGAAGACTAGACCTCTACCCGGCCCGAGGCCGGCTAGAAAAGTCGGCTGACTGCAGAGCCCGAAAAATATCCAAATATGATCCTATACGACATCTACTATTTCTAAACCTAAGACTCGTGCAGAGGAAATCATAATGAATCTGAGTCATAGATTTTGATAAGGAAGCTATCAGCTGTTCATTATCGTTCTTCGTATATCATCTGTATAAACCATGAAGAAATTTTTTAAACGTTTGAGACTCCTTCATGGATTAATTGAAGTCACACAAGAAGATAATTAAAATATGTATGCATACAACATCTAAGATATCAATGCTCGCTTTAGTTGAATCATACATTACCATATAGGGAAACTATCAGCTGTTAATTATTGATTTCCTCATATCTTATATCGCCCGAATTTGAAAAACGGATTTTAGATGTGCACTCGTCACATTCTCAGCATCTCGCTAAGTTTTTGTTCGACTGAAAAGCAATAAGTCGGCTCTGACTGCGGTTTGTGCAGTCAGCGGACTTAAAGAATTTACACCTTAAATTGATTTAAAAAGGAATCATTATGCATGTATTTATTGTGAAATATAATAAAAAGTTGCAATAGTTATTAATTAAGTTGAATATGACCTTAAGATTGAAGAAAAAACAAAACTATTAAGCGTAAGATTTTATGAATGAAAAACAATAATTTTATTAAAAGCAACATAATGTGCGTGTCATGTGGTCGTCTTCTATAGTGACATTTTTTATTATTGCACTTCAATTTTTTTAAAATTTTCTCCAAATTGTATTTTTGTGTCGTTTCATATTAAAGCAAAATATTAAGAATTATAATGAAAATTATATCTTTATAGTTTTATTCCCATTTCAATTATATTTTAATATTCGTAGATATGGCCAAAGGTACAACAAATAAAGGCTACAGTGACCTTAAATTTCGATATTCATGCATATGAAAAGTCGGAAAAATTCTGCGTATGGATTGTATTTTATTTCATGTTTCTCATAATGCTTCATCAACCAAATGTAATCATGTATTATAAGTAGTAGAATGTTGGCATGCAGCAATATTTAAAATAATTCCAGCTGTCATAAATTCAAATCAAATGAATTGCACAACCATTGAAAAGTTACTTTGAGCGAAATTGAAGTATCGTAAAATATTTTGATGTCTTTTTGACAGCGAAAATTTTTTCAAGCAACTCAATTGTAGACATTGTTTTAGGCGATGGAATTATGTACCCATTGACACATCCATAAAAATTTATTTGTCATAGTTTTTATTATCGGTAGTAATTTAAGACTCGAGGCATTATTTTTCTTTCTTGTTTCTAAATCTAGCTCAATTCAATTACTTCGAAGAGGTCATATCTGATTTTCTATTGGCGTTGTCACCGAGAACGAACGAAGTGTGTTCTACAATTAGTTGAAGCCACTTGGCAACGATTCGAATGTTAATATTTAAACCAGTCAGTCTTCTATCAATGCTTAAAAAACTCAATTACAATTTTTGTGAACAAAATGAAACTTCTTATATTCTTTTTTTTCTTCTTGCTATTGTTTCTACTGCTGTCGATGTTACCTTTTTTTCTCTTTGCATATATTAAAAAAGTATATTCACTTATAAGTTACTTGAATAATAAACAGAAGAAAGAATATACTGTTTTTTTTTCTGTCTCTCTCTCACATCCATATGCAAGAGAGAATTTATATCTATATATAATCAATGGTTAACCAAAAAATGAATACTTACAAAAGTCAGTTTCATTTTGTTTTTTCTTCTTTTCTCTCATTTTTTCACGAATCTGTCTGTTTGATTATACAAAAAAAAAGAATAAACAGAAAAAAAAGAGTGAAGAATAGTAGCAGGCAGATGATAGAATTCATTCTCGACATTCTATTGTTTTATTAGCATAAAACTACCAATATTACTGCTTATTTAGGTGAAAAGTACAAACAAAAATCCGTTTCAATTAGTATAAATTGTCCATTCATCATACAATAGACTTTTTATCCGATCTAGAAAGCAATAGTTCGAAAAGAAAAAAATCTATCTTTTTCTCTTTTTTTTTCTTTGTTTATCTATCCGACCGTTTTTTTTCTTTGTTCTATTGTTGATCATTTGACATACTTGTAAAAAGAAAGCAGGAAAAAAAACGTTGAACAAAAAACAAGTCTACTATAGCCGCCGTAATCAAATTCTCAAAATCGTTAATTTTTCTTTTTTCGAAATAACGACAACGCCTAGGGAGTTGTGTGCTTTATTATTTTTTCTCTTCTTTCTGTGTCTTACTATTACTATTACCATTACTTATTTCCATCACGCATCATAATAATAAAAGAATAAAACAAAACAAAAACAGGTATGATAAAATTAAATATTTAAATCTAAATCATATATATATATATATACATATTGAATTAATTTTATAGTTTAATGGCAACTGAACTACCGAAAAGTGATGCTGATCGTTTAACACTTAGTCGTGCTCAGCATCTTAAAACCCATAATAATCGACTTAAATCAGTATCTGATGATGAAGTCGATGCCATATCAGATTGGTCAGAATCCGATCGTGAATGTTGTCCATTAAGTGATTTTGAATCAACATCAAATGTTGATGGAATTAATGCTAGTAATCATTATGATGTATCATTTGATGATTATGACGATGAAATCGATCAAAGATTACCTATAGAACCAACATTACTTGAAAATGTTTTACGTTTAAATGAAACACCTTTACCAAAAATCAATGATAATACATCAACTACATGTCTATCGTATTCAAACGATACACAAAAACCTAAACAGCAACAACAAATACGAGAACAAACATCAACTATAAAAACTAAAAAACTACCAATACACAATGAAAAACAATTTCAAGCACCATTATTACCTGCTCGACGTATACATAATAAACAAGTATCTCCACATCGTTCAACAGCAAATGCTCATGTATTACCTCAAACAACAAATCTTTCACGTAATCATAAAACAATAACACCAAATTCATCACGATATTATTTACAACGTGAAACAACATCAACAAGCACAACTTCAAATACTCAATTAATAACTGAATCAACATCATCGCCTAATAGTTCATTTCATAGTAATGAGGAAAATCATAGTCATCAACGACATTTAGCATCACCTAATTTAAGTCAAACATCAATAACAAATAGTTTTGTACCACGTGCATATGAAGTAAAAAAATTATTTGTTGATGATTATGATTATGGTCGTTTAACTGATGTATCAACAATAAGAACAATACCAGCACGTAATCGACAAAAATGGGGTACAATTGTTCATCCACCATTTCCATTAGGATATCAGCAAGTAACTCCAGAACGAGTAACAAAATCTGTTCAACGTCTTACAAGTCCTGTTCGATGTCGTGATAGACATACACCTATACAAACACCATCAAAACGTTATCTATCTGTAGAAGAAACTGACGCTTTAGTAAGAAAAAAAAACTAGTAAACATTTTTTTCTTTAAATTATTTTTTTTCTTGTTTTAAGATAAATCGATTAACTAAAGTAAAACCAATTCGATCCACAGATCAATATTGGCCGGTACAACGTCAATCGCGATCCGTTAAAAGTTTCAGTAATGCTTTAAAAACAAATAATAATTGGAAAGGGGTTGGTATATCAGCATGAAAGACTTTATTTATGGGCTTTTTCTTTTCTTGAACTTCAGGGTTTCCTGTGTGTGTGCGTGTGTGCATTTTTTTTTTCGAAAATATATTTTTCATTATAATTAAACTAAAACCAAATGAAACATTTTTGTGGCTTTAGAATTCAATCAAAAAAAGAAAGGAAAAGGAAAGGATATTATGACTTAACTTTTTTTTTCGCTTTCATTTTTGTTTTTTATTGAAACAAACACAATAACAAAAAAAAGAAAAATGATATAGATAACTGATGGATGTGTTTGCTTGTTTTTCTATAAATTTGTTATTGTTTTTCATGAACAGCTTGTGCCATAAATAATTTAGCTAAACCTTGTGCTGTAAATTGTGTGATATTATCACATTGATTATTTATTTGTGATGCTGTCATTAATGCATTACGTCGTGATTGTGAAAACATTTTCGTCATACGTTCAAAATCTTCATCATAACCATCATTACGACGATTTGAATCACGTTGATTACGACGACTTTGTTGACGTTGAAGTTGTTTTTGATAACTCGTATAACGTAATGCATCAGAAGCAAAATCATCAACACAATCAATTAACGAACGAAGTTGTCGTTCAAGACTTCCACTAGAAAGACAAAGGAAAAAAATTATTAATTTCAAAAACGAGTAAAGAAAAAGTTTTACTTTGTGCCTAAATCAAGAAATGTATTTGATTTTGAACCCAGTCTTGTTTGTTCATCAATTTCACATAAAAGTGCATTGACTAAATGAGAATTTCTAAAGATAACTGGTAATTCTTCTAATAAATTTTCAAAATTAAGATTTGCTTGTTTTGCACTGAAATAAACCAAACAAAAATCATTAGTAAAATATTTCGAAGAAATTATTGAATAAGGTTTTTTTTTCCGATAATGAAAGATTTTAATACTAAATTTCCTAGCGGAAATAACTTGTCTCATTGAAAGAAATATGAATAAGTGATATAAGTACGAAGAGAAATGCTAACAACAGGTTTCTCAACTATAGCGTGTCATTTTAAGTTCTTGATTGCTTTGTTTTTACTCTTTGAAAAAGTACAGTCTACAGAACATCTCGACATAGCAAATATTGTTTTACTTGTGCTTAATGAGACATTATTATTAAATGATTTCAAAGAATAGTTTAAAATGTCTGAAAAGAATTTCTTTTAGCTTATTCGAATTTATACACTAAAATATTGAAATTTTGTTCTGTTATTTGACTAACATGAGAATCCTTTTAGGTGCTATCCTTCGATTTCAATGACTTTTTTTTTCTTGTCTATAGATAATATACAGTGCATTAGTAAAAATCCTTGATAGATTTAGATTCTTATGTCTCTCTTCAAAATTTGAATATTTTTATTATACTTTTATAATACAAAGCATACATTATTAAAAAGATTCGTCAATCAATCAAAATGCAAACTAAAAAAAATCGGAAAATTACTTTTATGATGTTGTTTAATACCTATCATATTGACAGATATTTTAATCATTGAGCAATAGAAAGACTGCACATAAATACTGTACATGTTTTGTCATATATATGGTATTTTTTCTCTTTTCTTTACTGTGCGTTATAATGTCTTGTCCACTTTGATCTATATGGTAGACCTCTTCTCTCCTTTTTACTGTTGTTCGATGGCATATTCCTATCTAACTATAAAAATCACCACAGCTTGTACGCGTCATCTCAATGAGCGGGAGTTCAAATCAGTATCTTAAGAAATCATTATTGCCATGTTGTAGAGCATGGTCTAAAGTGGAGAGAAACTTATTTCGTTTCGTGAATAAGTGCTTTAAATTGTATTTGATAATTGGTAACCGAGAGGTCACTAATGGACAAAAAAAAGTTCCTCTATTTAGAGCATGAGTTCACCTAACCCGTATATCTTAACAGTCTAGTATATACAAAGTTGATTAAGACCAATTAAGACTATGATAATAGATGTATATTTTCCCATAACAGTGAGTTTTCCATGTGCTATACTTTTTTGCAGCGAGCTTAAGTAAAACTATCCTATTTATAACGTCATCGCGTAATGAAAAATGAGCATTGTTTTTTTGACCTCTTGATCTCAACTTCTTTTTTTACAAAAAGTATATATCTAAAACTAATTTTTCATGGGCCATCTGACGCACGTATTTTTATCCGAAAAAGATTGTGTTTTAAAATCCTGTTACGTAACGCGATGACGTTTTTTACTGTTTTCTACATTTTTTTATATATGCCAAAAAACGTTTTCAGACGGCAATTTATTATTCAAAAATCATTGCAAGCTGTGAATAATGTATCTTTTTATTAATTACTAACAAATTGCCATAAGAATATATGTGATTGGTCTAACAAGTTGGTTGCGTTCAGTTGAAATTAAATTATCAATCTAAATCCTTCTCTCGTTTCATTGATATATATGTAAGGTCGAAAACACTCAAAATTTCAGTTACAATTTTTTTCTCAATGATTTATATATGGTTGGATAGAGCTCAAAAACTGTGTAAGAAAATGTACTTTGAATTTTTTCCCTCTTTTATGTACATTAAAAAGCTCAAAATGCTGAGATCATTCTATACGGAATGGTTCCAGTAACCGAATGATCTCAGTATTTTGATTTTTTTAAATGTATATAAGAGAGAAAAGTTTTAAAAGTACAGTTTCTTACACAGTGTTTTGAACTCTATCCAACCATATCTAAATCATCGAGAAAAAATGTTAACTGAAATTTTGAGTTTCTTTGACCTTACACAGACATTGCTATACATATTAGTCAAACTGGTTAATTTTTTTACGATTTTTTTTTATATTAGAATTAATAAACACAACATTTAACATTTGCATACTCTAAGCGGTAAAATAAAAATAATATCTTGTCTTACCGGAGGTGTACATATAACAAAATGAAGCAAAGAAAAAAAATGATTACAAAAGTTATCGTCACTGCGTTACGTTAATTAAACCGATTTCTATTCAAAATAAGGGTCTACGAAAGATGCGCATGGAAAGTTGCGCAACGAATAGTTTGCGCACGAAAATTAGTAGGCATAGTCTTCTTAATTGTTTGACCTCATTAAAGTGAACTCATTTTAAGAACAAACGTGTGACGTATATAAAAAATGATCATTCACATTCGAAATGGTTCATTATAAGTTATCCTCAAACATGTGTACTCCTGTCGAATTCGTCACTACTACAAAAGGTCGTCCCTTAATGATATTAGATGGTTATTTATACACTTAAGATCGTCGAACCGACACAAAAACCTATTGGCGTTGTGAAAATCATAATACTTATAATTGTCATGATCGAATACATACATGTAATTCTACTATTACTAAAACTCATGTCATGACATTAAAACAAAATGGTACTCATTCAACAAGTTGTAATCAAGATATAATAAAAATTACACTGAGAAAATTTCGTGAAGACGTCACTGATCATGTAAAAAATACTCAAGAAACAACAGATACTATATTATCACAAATGCATATCAAAATTATTTTATGATTTTAAAAATAAAATAAAACTATTGTTGTTCTTGCTATTTCTCTATGTCTGTATTATCTTTTGGCGTATAAATATGAATTTTTATTTCGTGCGCAAATTTCGTGGTGAGCAACTTTCCGTGCGCAACTTTCGCCGTGCGCATCTTTCGAGATCCCAAAATAAGAAGCCTGTTCGAAGAATTTTTTTCTTCGTTGGATACCTCAAACTGTTGGCTACAAAACGTTCATAGAGCGTTTCTTTGAATATAGCATACATTCGCAGAGAATTAAAGAACAATTAGGTGACCCTCAACTTTTTGCCCTTTTTTCGTCATCGCGTTACGCCATGTATTTTTTCCATAATTTTCAAACGGCTCGCTCAAACGAGCTCATATTTTCAGGGATTTTGCAAAGGACAGAAGTACATCTTACAACGAAAGAACAAACCTTCTGGGAAATCTGATTGCTGAGAAAAGTTAATAAAACTGTGACCAAAACGTCATCACGTTACGCTCGTACAACCTGACCATCATAAATATAACCCCTGGTGGTCTGTGGAAAATGTGGTATAGAGTTACTATAAAGACATATAATCGTCGACAGTGGAAATAGATTTTTTTCACGTAAAGCAATGTAACGTATGATTTTCGTTCAGAAAACGAAAAGAAATAAAAGATTAAAGTTTCTGTCAATATGATAGGTATCAAACAATACTGACAAAGCAATTTTCTGACTTTTAATTTTACATTATCCAGTACAGAGACAAAATTTTAAAAAATTCGTAACTTTCAGAAGAAATTATAGGAACTCGAGTCTTTTTAGGGTTTTCACTAATGTATCTGTAGTCAAAAAAGAATCATTTAAATCCGAGGGAGGAAGACGCACCTGTTAAGATTCCCTTGTTACACAATAAACTGATTGATAAATAAATCCATTGAAAATTTTTCAAAATAAAAAATTCATTGGTTTTAACTTTCAGCTCTATCACATGGAAATCTATTGAACAAAAACTGCCTTCTAATACTCTACCTGTCTGGTGAAAAGTAATCTTCATTCTTTAAATTTTCAAGTGCAGCAGATGTTAAACGAAATGCTTTTAAGCTAATATAACCTTGTAAAGCCAATGCTTGATCTAAATAAAAAATTTTTAGAAACATTTCTCTTGAAAGATTTATTTATAAATAATTAACCATAAACAAGTGCGATAGATTCTTCAACACCGGACAATTGATAAGGTACCATTGATTGTGCAAGTGATCGATTAAAACTGCTATCATAAAATCCAACTTGTAAATAATCCGAATTGACTCGACGGAAATTTTTTACTATATCCGATTGATATTGTTCAAAATCTAGATAAATATTTCTTATTATAAAATTATCTATGTAACAATTTTCAATATTACCAAGATCAAGATTTTCAGGTTTATTTTGATTTGGAAATGGAAAACAGTTTGTTACTTCAAGTGTTGAGTCCTTAACCAAACCAAGAAGACCACCTTGTGCAGCATCTATTGTTTCTTCATGAGCATGTTTTATTATTTTTAATATAACCTATTCGATATGAAAATGAAATCTTTTGTATCGAAAAAACAATTTTTTTTTCTTTATATACCATTGCATCAACATGAACATCTTTGATTGAATTTGATGGTGCTGTCATTGAAGAAGAACCGACTTTTGATGAATAATTCATTTGCGAGCTGTTCGATGCCATTGTTATTAATTTTTATTTTTAACACAAAATAAAATCTAGAAAATAAAATAAACTCATATTAAGTAATAACAACATCGCTTACTCTTTTGACGAATAGAGGCAAAGAAATAAATATTCATATTTTTATTCTTCTGCTTCTAGCGACACAATCAATTCAATTCATATATAAACAATAGCGCTGTGAAACAGAAAAGAAGAGAAATCATTGATTTGTGGTATTTAAAATTAAGGAAGGAAGAAAAAAGTTCGTTTTGTATCTAGTTATTTCTGTTGAAAAATAAAATGAGTACAAAGCGTATTCGTCATCGATTTGCTCGACGACAACATCATACAAATTATAGTAATACTCGTCATCGACATGCTAAAGTAACAATTAGAGAACCACCTAATGAAGTATAAAATAAAGTCAAATAAAAAAAAAAAAAAAAAACCATACTTAATTTTATTTATTCAGATTAAATCAGATCTTATTCAACAATTTAATAGTTGGTGTGTTAGTTTACGAATCGTGGCAACATATGAATTTGATAATGATGAAGAAAATAATCATCGATGCAAAGTTGATTAAGCAATATCTTTTTTTTCTAAATTCAATTTTGTTAATAGATGACATTACCTATATTTCCTAATTTACAATCAATTGGTAATGGAGCAAAAACAAAGAAAGAAGCAAAAGCAAATGCTATTATTGCTTTTCTTGCTCATATGGAAAAACGCAAACAAGTTGGATTATTTGTACCATACATGGTAATGATTAATCTTTCATGAAGATAATTATTTTCTATCCTTAAGTTAAGATACATTAATAATGTGTCATGATATAGTCCAGTTTATTGAACGTTTTCAGAATCTGGATCCACTCAAAAGAAAAATTTCAGATTTCGACTGGGTTAGATCTAGGTCCACAGTCAACCCGATGAACTCTAGTTCAATGAGATTAAATAGTTAATATTCAATGATATATAAGGTGCTGGCTATTCGAATTTTGAGCAAAATTTTCTGCCATGATTGGACAGAGCTCGTTGAGTGATCTGTAAAAATATTGTTTTTGACATATTCAGATGAGATTTTCATAATGAAAGTTAGCTTTAAGAAAAAATCAGAAACGCTTATAAAAATTAAAAATATGTCGAAAGCATCAAGTCTAGGTAGTTCTAAAAGAAACGAATATCATATTGAGAATCAATGCATCGAATAGTATACTCAATACTCGAATCTAATTTTCATCAAATTCTACTCCGTACATTTCTTCAGTGTCATTTTTGAAATCTTAGAATATAAACCCGTATTTTCTTTTTGCTATCACATCGAAAAAATGATTTTCTTAAAAGTCAAACAATACTTTTCAAAAAACATGTATAATAAATCGAAAAAAATTGGTTAAGTATTGAAGCTGCTACGACTTGATACTCTCGATATATTTTAATTTTTATAAGCTTTTCGAGTTATTTTTAAACTTAAATTCGACTTCGAAAACATCGTCTCAATATATATCAAAAACAAAAATTTTTAATTTTGAATTGCAGACATCTTATAAATATGGATCAACTTATTTGTGCATATTTTCAAAAAAAGAAAAATTCAACATATTTAAATAAAATCTGTTTTATTAGTACGAAAAAAAAAATTTCTCTCATTTTCGAAATATAGAAATAAAAACTAGAGATGTTTTACGATTACATTAACATCGAATATTCTGAAAATAGTGTTTGTTTTTTCAAAAATTCTTTAGTTTCCAAATCTACTTCGTAATGTGCAAGTTGAATTACGTCGAGCAAATGTTTCAACACCAGGTTGATTGCTTCTCTGAAATTTCAATTTAGATATAAATACTGTATTTTTATTTAGATTTAAATAGAAATATAAACGAATATTTATTGGCTGATCGATTAATATCAACACGTCTAGCAAAAAAATATGATAGAATTATTAAAATTATTGAACGAATTTGTGATGTTCGCATAATAAGATGTAAGTTTAAATTAAAAAGAATTATTACTTTGAATAAAATTTTATTTCATCAGTATGGCAATCACAAAATATTACATTTATTTATATAGTTGGATCTAAAGCAAAAGAAGAATTAATTCGAGTAAAAAAAAAAGCAAATAATTGAATATATATTTTTTTTTTTTTTATGGTTATCTATTAGCCATATGTAAAAGCTTTATTTCAACCGGATAATGAACAAATGTTTAATTATGGAGAAAAATTATTTGATATATTTAGTGATGAAACATTTCTTGATGATGTTTGTCAACGTCTTAAAGTTTTATGTGATAATCATCTAGAACATTGTAAATTATTTATTCGTGGAAGGTACAACAAAATTAAATTTAAAGGACGAGGACGGATAAGATCATTTTCTTTTCGTCACAATAAAATTGATTTTGTTTTTATCATTTTCCAGTAAGAAATATTGTGTAGTAGTATTCTACATGTTAACTTTTATAAAGATGACGAAAACGTTTTTGGGATTAGAGGTCCCCCACGAAGGTCGATGGAAAATTTTTTGTCTTTTATTATGTTGAAACATATATTGTTTGTGCATTTATTACGAATATCAATATATCGAATACTCAAAGCCTTTTACTTAATAAAAAAGACAATCCTTTTTTAGATATTACGAATCTTTCTTCATGACATTAGAATAATCAATTGAAACGATATATGAGCGAAAAACTGGGGAAAAAAACCCAAGGAGTACCTGAAAAAGGGCTATTTCTCCTGTTTAATAAAAGGCGTTGAGTATTCAACATACTAATATTCATAATCCGCGCACTTGACTCTATCAAAGATAAAGAGTTCTTCCATCGATTCCTATGAGAGCTTCAGGCTCCAAAAATCTTTTGATCAGCTGTATAAAAACTAGCAGGTGTCATATTTGTTAAGCATCATGTCTTATTGCAAAACGATAAAAACAAATTCAATTTTGTTGTGACATAGAAAAATAATTTTATTCGCCCTCGTCCTTCACAAAGTTGATTTTTGTTTCGTTTTTTACAGTTCAGTTAATGTACAGTGTTGTTATAATGAATTTATTGGACTTCGTCGTGAATTTGAAAGTGAATTTCATCAAAATCAAAAATATGCATCTACAAAATCAATCGAATCTTCAAAACCAATCGAACCTTTCAATCCAATGGAATTAAAAAATTCTATTGAACAATTAGAATCAACACGTATTGATAATGATGAAAAAGAAGAAAAAGATAATGATCAATTACCAGATTATTCAATTTATGATGATGATGTTAATGCATCAATGTTAAGAGTATTAAGAAATGAAGAGGATGTTCAAGAAGAAACATTAACTCAAGATGTAATTTCAATTTTTCTTTTAAATTCAAAATCTTTTAAATGATTTCATTTAGGTAACAACGAAAAATTCACCGGTCGTCATTGAAGTTTCAGATGATTCCTCAGATAGTGCTGATTTACAAATTGTTCAAACAATTGAACCAAAAGTTCAAAAGAAAACTGATCAATTACAACCACCTGTTCCGTATGATATCTTTCTTTTTTATTTCATTTCTCTGTAATAGTCTTTTCTAGATCTCAAAATCCGTTTCAACTATTTGCAGCACAATCTGAATCAATGTCTCAGTATGTTTCTTATTTATTTGTTATTTTGGAAGCCAGATATTTTTGCCCTAGGGCAGATCCTTGCTGAAGACACTTTTGAGGAAAGAGAAAAAGAATTCAATAAGAAAAAATTAAGATAAAATCTGTTTGGTGACCATCTCTCCTAGAGCGAAAGTGTCCGTGCGAACACTTATTCTTGTACACTACTACCCTATGGTCGTTATTGCATTGTTTCTTGTAGATTTCAAATTACATTTCAACCTCCTGTGCAACCACCATTACGTCAACCAAGAATTCTCCGTCATGTTGTTCTGGATGGACAAAATATTGCTCGAAAGTAAGCAGAAAATCTCTATTGACATGTTATTGTTGAGAGAAAGAAATGTAGAAATCACACATTCTCTTTTGATTTGAACTACTTGTAAATGACGGTGAGATATTATATTCATATAATAGGATTGTAAGGAGATTTGAAACTTTATTTCATCATGCTAATCTGTTTTTTCTTTGTTATTGTGCTTTTTCGTGGACAATCATTTTGAATATCTCAACGTGAATCTGTTGATCTCATTTTTTGATAACCGTCGGCTTGTCTGAGAAGAAGGTGAAAGATCAATGTAAATTTTTAGTTCAGACTAGGATATTTCAGCATGAACAAGATATTTTACGGCGTTTGATTTCTTATTCGAGAGCTCAGTGTTGCCTCTATCATGAATAAAAATTTCATGTCAAACGATTATTGTTTGCTTGACTTATGAAAGTACCTTTGAATATTCTTAGCATGAAAGTTTATGTTATTCGTCAAAAAAACTAACCTATAATTCTGAATATTTGTTTCAATAAGTTTTCTACTCTAATAAACTTTTCCATGATAATTTTATGATTATAGTCGTTGGTGGATTAGAAATCAATTCACGAACCATCCCAAATAAGGAAAACGTCCCGATGCCTCAGGATAACAATAGATCGTAGTTTCTTCTTTGTGATACAGTAAAGACATGTGGCGCTTTATCTCGTGATAAAAGAATGTATATTAAAAAATTAAAAATATCACAAAAAACGAAATTTATCAAAAATCGACTGAAAAAGACTTTTTTGTTACAATTTTTGTGATGCTTTTAACTTTTTCAGGGAAAGTCGCAGAGAATGCAGCGATCACTTGTTTAGTTCTCGTTAAAATGGCATTGCTAGAAAGTAGCTTCTGGAACCTGAAAACTACGGTGATCGGGTTTTTAGGTTGTACTATGATAGATCATCTTGTATAGAATGTATAAAATAGAAAACGTCATTAACTATTAAAATCACTATCGGAATGTTGAGCTTGGTGCTTAAAATTATAAAAAGATAGTTAAAAATACGTTATTGTTAAACTTTTTTTCATCACCCTCCATACCAAGCTCGAAACAAAGCGAATATTTCATATGAAACACTAAAACATTTCTAAAACAATATTTTATTTCTTATAGTACCAATGACTACAATCGTGTATTTTCTTGGTCTCGTTTGTCAAATGCAATCAATTATTTCAAAAATCGTGGTCATGAAAATATTATTGCATTTCTTCCTCTGTGTTAGTCTTTTCGAATTGTTTTATTAAATAATCGATCATTTATTTAGATCTTCGAGATTATTCAAACAAACAATTATCAGTAAATGATATGAATCGTGAGCGACAAACTCGTGATTCTTTAATTAATTCACGTTATATTGCATTTACACCATCACGATATAATAATGGAAAACGTTTAACAAATTATGATGATCGGTATTATATTTAATCTTAGTACTGACCAGAATTTATTCAACTACTTATTTGAATAGAACTGTGTGATACATTTCGACTATTTCAATTCTCTTACGCAAAGAAAAAAAAACGTATGCAAAGATATGTATTGGGATGTGATCCATCAGGTTTTAGGAAACAGAGGATTGTCAATATCTGTCGGCTTTTATCTGGTCAAAATAATACACTCGATATCACATTTTCCTCATGTTTTTCTGAATGCAACATCAGTTTGACTGGGAAGCAACGTTGATATGTAGACAATCTGATTGTGTGACTGGAAAATACCATTCAAGCTTTATACTTGCATTAGTATTGTTGGAATCAAAGCGGAGTTGTTTCTTGAAGAACTAATTCAAATACGACGCACATTTTTCTTGAAAATAATGTATCGAAGAACTCCATGTCTCATTTCGTTAGAAAGTTCGCTATGGGATCACAATATATTCTACCCAATACAGTCCACAGCACTTACACAAAATATTGTTCATCCTTTCTTGAATATTACGTTTGAGAGGCTTTGTCGCATTGTCTAAAATCCTGGTTGTGCCATCGAAAGCAGCTCGGCTTCGATTCCAATAATACTAACGGACGTATAAATCTGGAAGAGTATTTTCCAGCCAATTTTTCTTGAGCATTGAAGTTCCATTATATAATCAAGAATAAATCGGTTTTAACAACGCGCTTGATGAAAATGTTCAAAATTAGGTTCTCTGCATATCCATGTTGCATTTAGAAAAACACGAAAAAATTGTGATATCAAGTGTCTAATTTTGACCCAGTAAAATTCGACAGATCTTGACAATCATCTGTTTCCTAAAGTCTGACAGAGCATATTCGACTAAATGTCTTCACATGCCTTTTTTTGAGTAAGAAAATTGAAATAGTTGAAACGTATCACATAGTTATATTCGAATAATTTGGTCCCATAATTTTGGTCAGCACTGCATTTATTAAATTAAGAAAAAACACTTCGTTTGTTTTATTAAGATTTATTTTGCAATATGCAGCCGATAATGATGGAGTAGTTGTTAGTAATGATAATTTTCGTGATCTTCAACATGAAAAAAGTTTTCAATTTGTTATTAATAATCGGTTTGAATTTTTCTTCTTTATCTCTTCAAAATAAAAAAAGTTTTTTTTTTTTATAGAATTTTACCATTTGCAACTATAAATGATACATTTATGCCTGCAACAGATCCACTTGGTCGAAACGGACCTAATCTAGATGACTTTCTATCAAAACCATTTCTGTAAATCGAAACAAATCTTTCTAAAAGAAAACAAAAACAAAACAGAGAAAACTAGATTATGTATATTTTGTTTTTTTGGTTATCTTTATTAAGAATTTTGTTTTCTTTTTTCTTGTTATTTCGTTTATTTACGTACATTTATTTTTTATATTGATTAAAGAAACAACATTAGAGATAATTCGTTGGAAGAAAATTTATTGTTCGTTCTTTTAGATAAATCCCAATGTCGGATTCAATGAAATGGGAAATAGCTGATAGACTTCGTCAACGTGCACGTGATGATTTATTTAATTTATTACAAAGTATTGATGGTACAAAAGATTTATTTATTGATGCAGATTTATTTCCTTTAATTGATTTAACATCAAATGCAACGGAAATACGAAAATATGGTGTTGGAAATTTACATAAACTTGATGGAGCACAAAATTTTCATACAAAAAATAAACGTTTATTTTTATTACGACCAAATATGGTTCGATTTTTAACATTAGCTAAACAATTACGTCAATTAGATATTCGAAATGCACATTTAATATGTGTACCAAGAAAATTTTATGCATTTGAACATTTACTTGAACAAGAAGGTCTTTGGGGACGATGTACATTACATGAATTAACAGCATTTGATATGGTTCCAGTTGATTATGATATTTTTTCAATGGTTAACTCACATTTATATTTAAATATTTATTTGGATCAATCAACAGACTGGTTATCAACAATAGCAGCTTCATTAATTGATTTTCAAGAATTATTTGGAATATTTGCAAATACAATTTCTTTTGGAAAATTAGCTGGACAAGTTGCAAGACAATTAGAAAGAGGACAAAGGTAGAAAATATTATATTAAGGATACCACAACATTTTTTTAATGGTTATTGTATAGTCTGAAGCAGTAACTATCTACTAACGAAGGAAGATTCTTAAGTGATAAGTCACTTTTAAGTTGTAACTATATTCAATCGATAGAATCTAGTGAATAAGTAAATAGTCTAGAGTGATTCGAACTGCTGGATTTTTGTTGTTGAGATAGATTCCAAAATAAATAATCCGTGATATAGTTCATTCATATTTTTACTCCATAAAGTATTTATGTTAGTACCATTGTAACAACCTTTTGAAACGATTGGATTTTTCAATACGACAATTCAAGAGATTTTAAGTCTAAAAAAGTAGAACAACAACAACGTATTGAACTAAAATAACTATTAGCATAGATTTGAATATGTTTCATAAAATAATTAATCTTCAATGGGGAAATATCGCACTTTAAAATACTGGATTCGCGTCTTTTCTCCTTGTTAATCTTATACTATTCATATTAGAGCTGAGTACAGGACGATTTTTTTTTTGCCCTGTCTCATTGTTCAAATCTGTCGTGTCCGACAACAGCAGAAGACCGAAGCTAGAGACTTGTAGGGTAAAGCAAACCTACACATCTCTAGCCCAATATGATTTGTGCTTCTGTCCTACCACACAGGACAACAACAAAAATACTTATTTCGATTTCCGATAACTAAAATACTTATGAATTTAGCAATTAGAATGTGGATTAGAGATAGTTCTCAACACTGATCAAGTATCACTGATGAAAGTACGTAGTATGCAAAAATTGTAAAAAAAATTAAGTAAAATACAGAATCAGTTTCTACATTCTGCTGTCACTTATTCTGCTAAGTAACAGGCCAGAACGAAAATTTTATCTTCACTGTATCCAATGCTCAGTTCTGACTTGCACTATGAATTCTTTCAAACCAAGTCTTAGATTTCAATAATGTTCTTTTTTCGAAAATCAAGATATCAAAATCTTTACCCTAAAAATATAATCGATATTTGACTTTCTAATTTCGATCTTTTTATCAAAATATTTTAGTACTATCAGTAATCGAGATCTGATACCAGGTGGACGATATATTCAAACTGTTATATTATTTGATCGTAGTGTTGATTTAATAACACCATTTTGTTCTCAAATGTGTTATGAAGGTTTACTTGATGAATATTTTAATATTGAAGGTGGTCGTATGAAAATTCCTAAAAGTGAAAATACAGATAATTCTGCTAAACAATATGAACATATATCATTATCAACAAGAGATGATATGATAATTGAAGGTATACGTGCAATGCATTTTACAAAAGTTTTTCAAGAAATTAAAGGTAGTTCCTGTTTATTTTGACCAAACCTTTTATTTATTTTGTTTTTCTTTTTATAGCTTATTTAGCAAAACAAAATATTTTACAAAATGATGTTCGTGATAAAATGCAAGATGCATCAATAAGTGATTTAAAACAACTTGTTAATATTGATGTTAAAGGACATATAAATGCAAAAAAACAATTAACACGTCATTTAGATTTATGTACAGATATATATGAAAAGAAAAAAGCGCATGATTTTAAAATTCAACTTGAAATCGAAGCTGATATATTTCATTCACAAAATTTTGATGATATTGTTTCATATATACATACAATGATATGTCGTTGTGAACCAAATAAATATCGTCCATTACAATTACTTTGTCTTTTATCAACAGCAAATAATGGTTTACCACGTGAATATTATGAATTATTGTGTCGATCATATCTTCAAGCATATGGTTATGAACATATTCCACTTTTATATAAATTAGAAAAATTAAATTTATTTCATGTTAAAAGATCATGTGATATACCAGTAGCACCAAACACAAATACACCAACTGGTTTTCGCCGTGATGCTATATTAAAAATGGGAAAACAAGTTGCACAAAATCTTACAGATAAAACACAAACACAAAAAACATTTTTTCAATTTATGAGAAAAAGACTTAATTTAACACCTGATCTTAATCAACAAGTTAAAACAACACTTGGTCCAGATATGGTATGATAGAATTCAAATATATAGATGAGAAAAATTATTTATTTATTTTCAACAAATTGAAAGAAATTTAATATTTCGACTTGTTTCATCATGACGAAATCACATTTTTTTCATTTTTGTATTTTTCAATATTTCAATGGAATGAAGTTGAAATTTCAGATTATATCTAATGAGGAAAGTCATCCAACTGATTAATCCTTTTTGAGTTCGGAAAATATTCATTATATATATCTAAATAAGTTTTGAATATCCTGAAAGTGCAACAGTTCTCCTCAGTACCCGATCGGGAAACGATCGAAACTAACCGACATCCGACAGATAGTTTCACAGTTATAGTACAATTTTCAAACTTTTATTTCATATGAAAAGTATACTGTTTAGTTTCTTCCATAAACAGCAATTACAAAAAGACAAATGAATCAAATAACTCAGTATTCATTGAGTATTTTTCTGCTACTAGAATCCTTTCAATTTTGCTAATCATACATTTGCTTGTTGCTAATAACGCTAGAATAGAACTCATTGTTGATGCCAAACGTCATAAGTGTGAATACATATATGAATGCTTTCTGCATCACAATAATATATGTTCACATTTTTTTCATTATGCAGTTTTCTCTTTATGGCTTCAGTTATTTCGTCATATGATTCTTCATAATCTGTGAATGAGTTTTCATTGAAAACGAACTCTTTTAATAAAACAATATTGCTTTTCCACATCTGTGACGTGTTCTCAAATACAATAAAAATCATTTAATCATAATCGAACCGATCTGCTGAGTACTCAACCCGTTTTGTAGAACATTACTCCATACTCAAGTTCTTTTTGAGTGTCAAGTGAAATAGAATCTAAATTTAGATTATCATTAATTAAATCCGATAGACAGTGTACGAGATTAACTGGATTCATGATCACTAAGGTTTCGTACGAAGCGAAATAGTAAGAAAATAATCACTACTAAAACAAGTGCAAAATAAATCCTTCCCTGATAATCATAAAATGAATTTATAAGACCAATGAAAAATAAAGGAAAAAAAAATTAATAATAAAACATATAGAATATGTAAATGTTAAAAGAAAAAACTTTTTAATCCTCTAGCCTTCTCTAAAATGGTTCAAATTTTGGAAAAACAATTCATTTTTTATGCTCAACTCGAGATGTTCTATAAACTAAACAGATTAAAAACCTAGCGGGCAAAAATCATGTTGACATTCGAAATCAGTATGGTAGATTATACGCTAGGTTTTATGTTAAAAAGAGATTAAACCCTTGATAATCTTCCCTTGTCAATCTTTTTGTTCATCGATCTCTTGGAAATAGAAGACAAAATAAATTTTACTACATTTAGCAAATTACCAACATCTCTAATAATAATTTTTCTTCATATTAAATTCCAAACTTATAATCAATTCATTTATTTTTATTCATGATATTGAATTGAATTTTAATCAATTATATTTTTTTTTCTTTAGGCAGATATATTTGGTTCAATCTATGTTCCATTATCATGTCGATTAATTGAAGAAGGTTTATTAAATCCTGATAAATTATTAACACTTCAACATGAACTTCATCAACGTGGTTATTCAGATGCTAGTGATCTTTTTTCACATCGTTCATCTGGAGTATCAACACGTACACAATTTCATGATGTTCAACAAGCTGTTCTCGTTGTTTTTATTGGTGGTTGTACACAATCAGAAATTAATGCTCTTCGTATGTTAGCTATGAGTAAAAGTAATACAAAATGGCAATTTTATTTTGCACCAACAAATATATGGACACATACAAGATTATTACAAGAAATTGAAGCATCACAGTGATTAGAGAACTATTCAATTTTACGAACATTCCTTATCTTCTGTTTTTTTTTCACTTCATTTTAGCAATACTCACATACAAACATATATATATACATATATTGTTTTTGTCATTTGTATGTTGAGCTTAAAAGAGTATTCGTTTATGAGTTTAGTTTTTTAAACGTTCTTTCCTCAATCATTCGTCTTTTAATTCTTTTTTTTTCAAGTATCAAAATAAAGTCTAAAGTAACGAAATAAAATGATCTTCACTGACCTCTGCCGATTTATTTTGTCCTCTATTATGAATAACACATTAAAAATTTGACCGTTAGTTTATATAATTCAATGAAATGAAAAAACAACTGAAACAGATAAACATAAAATGAGTCGTTCTAGTAATCGTACATCGGATTATTTTCTGGCTTCAGCAGAACATGAAGGTGCATCGTTGTTTCCTTCTGGTTTGCTTATGTATGATTTACCATCATTACGTCGAACAGCTTCTCGAACATTGAATAATGTTGAATTAATTAATCGACAATCGTCATCATCATCATCATCATTATCATTACGAAAACGTTCATCCTCACCGGTTCCTTGTGTAGGTTATATAGAAGAAAAGGGATGACTTTTCTTGATATAGAAATGATTTATTTTTGTTGGATATAGAAAAATAGATGATTGACAAAATTCGATGTGTTATTGTCCCTTTAGTTTGTTTTTATACATCTTTAAGCTATATGTTCTTAATCGTTATAAACTTTGCTTATCTTACAACAGGTATTCATGATGAAAAATTCTCATCAAATGAAAATCTTTCTTTTATCTAAAGAGTAAATCTTTTAGGAAGGCACAGAATTGATGTTTATTACTTATGAGAGAAGGTTCACAGCTGTCTAAGTGATTTTGAGCTGATATTTTAGCCAGAAGATGATTCTCGATGAGTTTAGAAAAACTTCAAAATATTTCAAATCCATTGGCCTATATTCAAGTGCGATCTCGAGTTTTTTCCTATATCTTGAAAATCTTAGGTTTTCGTCGTAAAGAAGGGTCATACGCAGTTTCAGGGCTTTTTTCAATAAATTCTGCTACCAACAAGTTCTACAATAAGTTTCAGCGCGATTCATTCGAAATTTCAGGAGACATTAAAGGAATGTATATGCACTACTTGCAAGTCAAGTTCATATAAATACATTATAACTAACGAAAATGATAACTAAGGAATAAATAGTCAAAAATAGAGCATCTTTACAACAGATAAAAGGCGTAGAATCATATTTTGAGCATGAGTGGCGTCCCTTCATCCGCATTTCCTGACACATCGAATGGATTGTACTAAAACTATACGATTTCCAAAATACATGGAAAGCGATTATAAGTTTTTGAAACACAAACCGAATATCTCTAGGTTAGTAGAGAAAGACTTGCTCTATCTGACGATGTATGTACCATCAAGTTGTATTATGTACTGCCGAAACTTCAACAGAGGACTCTAACTACGCCGTGTCTACAGTCGAATACGACGGAGATGGTACGACCTATTGACATCTCAGCGGTGCGCAATAGAATTTGATAATACATATATCATTAGACATCGAAAGTCTTTCTCTACTAGCCTACATAGATCTCGTTCTGGAGTCAAAAATCACTGTAACACTTATATTTGCGTTTGCTTTTTTGGCGCTTGAAACCTCAATATCTCTTGAATGAAGAGTAGTTTACCCGAAATCTCTTAAGGTTTTTTTCGACTTATCCAGATCTACTGCCTCACAAAAAATCAGCTAAAAAACGCTTCAACAGTTGAGAATTAGTGTTCTGCATCGGTAAGAGTTTTTGCAACCAGATCAGGTGCTGCGGTGATCGACTGAGTTGCAGGACACTATTGAGGGCCTTCTCTCGTTAACTTTTTTTGCATTTCATTTAATCATATTCGGAGATTCTTATGAACCAATGCGGAAACTCTATAAAAAGAAAAATAACTAACGAGAGAACTTCTTCAGATACTACCTTCCAATTTCAATGAATTCTTGTCTATAGATACCATATAGTGTTCGTATAAAAACTCTAACAGGATTTGCGTTCCTATTTGAAATTTGAATAAGCTATCGAATCCTTTTTTAGAGATCTCACAATTCTGGAAAACTCGTATTGTAGAATTTTGATCTGATACTTTGTACATATCGAGCACTCAACTAGATTAGTTTTCGAAAACCTGAGACTTTCGGAGAAAAAATCGATAGCTTAACTAAATCTCAATAGAAACTCAAATTCGTTTAGGCTTTCTATTAGAACACTATGTAGTATCTACAAGCAAAAAACAGCATTCAAATTGAAAGGAAACATCTAAAGAGGTTTCCTCATAAGCAATTGTATAAAGGCAATATATATATATATATGCAAACTTCTTTTCTAACATATTTAGTCTTCATCTTCTCCTTCGTCAATAGCCGACGGTGATTTATCGGTCGATGATGAACCAAATCAGAAAAATTTAACAACGTTAGAAGATTGGTGGCGTCAAGGTTTTATTTTTATTTTTTTCTAAATTCAAATTTTTCTATTCAATGTTTTTCTTTTAGCAATTGAACCAATACCAGCAAAAACAATTTCTGTATCTCATTCAGCATTTAGTATGAATGATAATGATATATCAAATGATACAAATCAATTATTTTCTCTATTACCATCATTTAATTCAACTCAAAGAATAATTGTACATAATCAAACATTAATTACTTTAACACAAACCTATTCTGATAAAGCGCTTGATTGTGTTAAACAATGGTATGAACGTCATTCAATACCAAATTTAAATGTTCTAATAAAACGTGGTTTATTAAAAATTTATAAAGAAAAATCCATTCGAATGACAATTAATAATGTAAATTGTATTTATTTATTTAATTCTTAATACTTGTTTTTCTTCGTCATTTAAAGAAAAAAGAAATCTTTGGACAATTAGATAAAAATGGTAAAATTATATCAACATTTGATAATCGTCTATTTGATTCAATTGAACATTTTTATCAAACTTATCAATCACGTCGTAAAAGAAATGAAAATCTAGCTATTATTTATGAATCTGTACATTGGTATGATCAATCATTTCATTCAATATTACTTGAATATGCTGAAACAATGTAAACTAATATCATTCTTCTTTTTGTTTGAATTCTTTTTTTCTTCTATAAAATTTAGTGTGAAAATTTCTGGTATGAAAACTCGATTAATAACTGATGACGAACTAATATCAAATAATTTTTCAATTGATGTATTATCAAAAGAAATTCTTTGTCAAATCAATTGTTGGAATGAAGGTCGAAATGAAATCGATCTATAATCAATTTTTTTTCTATTGATTTATGGTTTCTAATAGCTTTGTCATAATAATCAAATGTTGAAAAAAAAAGAACAGCAAATTCATTTTCTTTACTTTTTCATACATTGGCATATCGATTTTCAATAAATGTTTTCTTGAAAGATCGGATAAAAAAATGAAATTCAAATATTGATATAAAATACATAAGCTTTTGTTATGTGATAACTTAACCTTCTTTTTCTAGAGTTTTCTCACTTATTTGAAAAAATAACTTGAGATTGAAATTTTTGTTGATAAAATTCTTTTCTTTCTCTTTTTTTTTCTTTGTGTCGGTGTTTTGAAATTTATATTCGTGTCTTTGCTTATTTCTCTTGTACGTGTGAGAATATTTTAATTATCTATTTTGTTGCTACCAACAAAGTTATACACGTAGAAAAATGAAACAAGTAGGTAGCTTCAGACGAGAAAAGAAGAGTGGCATAATTCTGGTTACTCAGCGACGAATGTGGGATTGTAACTGTTATTGGAAAGGAAAAGAAGTTTGGTAACGCCGACGTCAACATATTTTACTAGACACATATCCAAAGAATGAACGATAGACGACGAAGAAGAAAAAAAAAAGAGGGAAGTTCGCCTACATTTTACCGTAAACGAGAGATAACGACGCTGCCTATGATAAAGAAAAGAGTGAAAAAAATTCAAGAAAAAACTCTTATTTCAACTCAGAAAACTCTTTCACTACCATTATCGGCGTTGTTATATTTCTTTAGCATCGGATTCACTTTATTTCTAAGTTATGTAAAGAACGTTAAATAGAGTAGGTTAGTTAAATTATATGAATTAAATAGTAACTCGCTTTTATAAGTATAACAATAAGTAATATAAATTAGATAATTAAATATGTGAATATTTATGTACCATGAAATTACAACTATTCATTTTTCTTTTACATAACAATCTTGGTTTTTAAAGTTGATAAGTGAAATTGAAAAGCAATTCTAAGTTATTAGTATTTTCTTTCTATTTCTTAAACATTAAAATCACTTTTTAAATTATTAAGGAGTGTAATCGACATTTACTTGAATGCTAGAAAGTAGGCATTCAACTAAGCATTAAACATAGTTGTTATTGTGAAACACGATTTTAAGAGAATGTTGAAATATATAGAGTAGCCACCACCTCCTACAGATTGTCAAGCTCTCCTTGACAATTTCTTCTTAAGGGTGCAAATAAAATTTATATCGAGTTTTATATTTTAATCCCAAAGGGATTGCACTAATAGCTATTTTATATTATTTTGTAAAAGTTTTTATAATAAATAGAAATAGTCTATTGAGCACGAACAAAAGTATTATAAGGAATTTTTGATGCAATAAATAGTGAGTGTTGATTTAATATTGATTGTCGTTGTTTTGTTGATAATTTTTCATGTAAAATTTTATTAATAGATTGATCAAGTTTTACACCAAGTAAAGTTGCTATTTTTTTAATACTATGTAGAACATGATCGAGATTATTATTATCAGCAATTAATTGTGATTGAAATAATGGAATAGTACCTTGAATAGTTGAATAATAATATGGATCAATATAAATATGACAAAGAAATTTTTGACGTTCTTCTCTATTCATAGAAAGTATTAAATCAATAATTGATTGAAATATATGAATATGATCATGTTTAATGATTAATTCATGTAATTGTTCGATTGTCATATTTAAAAGATTTTTATTGAGTTTAGTTGTTCGAATAAAATTACTAAGAGATTGACAATTATTCCAATCGAGTAAAACATATTGTTTTTTATTATGTATTGAATTTGTTCGTTCAATAGATGAAAAATTGATTAAACTTGAATCACTATTGACATGTTGTTCATGAAGAAAATTTCTTGATGAAGTTTTTGATGTCTTATCTAAAAAAAAAATGATTAGAAAATTTATTTATTGAATATATTATTAAGAAATACTTGTTGAATATGATTTCTTTTTTAAATTAATCGAACATTGACTTGATTCATTCGAACATAGACATTTAGTTATATTTAAATTGCATTTCGAACAATATTTAATATTAAAACTATGTTTATCTAATTGATCAGTCTTTGTTTTATAATCATTAAATTCAGCTTTTGATATCATAGGAATATGTTTATTAAAACATTGTTTAGATGTATAAGTTATATTGTATGGTATTTGATATTTTTTTCGAATAAGTTGTTGTTCTTTTTGCCATTGATATCGCATTTCACGTAAACATTTATAATCATTATGTGTCTGTCTATGCATGTATGAGTGTGTGTTTGACTACGTGGATAATTAGATAGCAGCAAGAAGTCAATGCTTCTTTCTTTTTAATATTATAACTTATAGAAAATAATGGAATCAAATCAAGTACAAACATATCCAATCACTCAAGCAGAACAATCTGACGATAAAGGTTAATAAAGTTTTTTTTATAATTTGGTTTATTATTATTATTATTTTGTTATAGAAAAAGTAGTACTTCGAGCTCTAGTTGGTGATCCAAATCGGCATAGACCATTAGCACAGCATCCATCACCGACTACAAGCAAGTCTCAAAATGCAATACCAGCATCAATGTATACACTTGAAACTCGATATCGATCAATTCCATCAAAGGTATTACCAAAATCAACGGAAGCAACATTCTATTATATTGAACCTAAACAAGTAGAACAAACTTCACCACGTAGTGTTCCATTGTCGAAAGAAGGTTTATCATTATCTCTTTTAATTTAGACAAAAAAAAAAGAATGATTTGTTTTTTAAATATTAGAACGCGAGACATCACAACCTTTCGAATCGGAAGGATTGAACGCTGTAGAAGAAGAAAAAGAATCTCAAGCAACTGCATTTCTCGAACCTAAAATTATTTCACAACCTGTTCTTTACAGTATTGTTGCAACGAAAAGTCCTTCGGTTCAAAATGATCAACCAATTCCTGCTAATCAAGATGTAGATTCACCTATACTCTATACAATAACTGGTAAATCCAATCTTCCAAATATAGATATGAGTGGAAATAATTCAAATATTGAAACACCTGTTGTTAACAAATCTGCTAATTTTTATTCTTTGGTTGGCAATCCACGCGTTTCAGCACAACCTCAAGAACCAATATCAAAAACTTTACAACAACCATTACCTAATCTTTATTCAATTGTTGGAAGTCCAACACTTTCACCAAATATGCTACAAGCAAATACATATGATTCAACTACTTCGACACAACCAGTAAAAACTAATTCTGTTCAACCGGAACCAATTTTATATACAGTAGTTGATGAAAAACAAAAGCCAACTAATATACCAAAAGAAAATCGTCCACCACCTACAGCACCTATTAAAAAACAAGCAAAAGAGGCTGTTTTATATACAGTTATCGGAGATCCTAGTATGCCTCAATCAATGACACCTGCTCGCAAAACTCAACCATTAAAACCACAAGCATTACCACAACAAATTCAAACACCTACTTTGTACCCATTAATTGGCAAACCAAATCCACCATTGATGACAAAAATGAATATTCGACCAAAGTAATTAGTTTTCATATTTAATTTAATAATCGCTTATTTTCTTTTTTTAATCTTAGACCATCTGTATTAAAGAAGACATCATCATCTACTGAACTTCGTACTAGACGAACTAATCAAAGTCTTGAACGTCAAGTAGCACCGGAAGCAGTAATCGAGGAAATTACTTCTATTTCAGATACAAAACATAAACGTCAAACGAAATCACAAGGTTTTTTCAAGCATAAAACTAACTTTCAAATTATAATGTTTTCTTATTTATTTTAGAATTAACAATACAAAAATCAGAAACCATATTTATTCCTCTTCCTGAACGCCAACATGTATCACGTTCAAAACAACTTCGAACAACTCCTCGTAATATAAGTCCTGGACAAATAAATCATAAACCGAGTAGGATTCCACGTTACGATCCATTTTATTCATCTGATTATATTTCACCTTATCTTTATCATCCATCAAAACCATATCGTGAACGAAAATATAATCCTAAATTATTACCTGTTATAACAAATAATTCTTCTGAACGTAAAACAAGACCATTAATTCATGAATCTCGTCATCGAGTCGAACAAAAACATCCATGCGATCCACGAATGCCTCATTCTTTGGTAAGTGTTTTGTTTTTTTCTCATTATTTATTTTTTGTACATTTCTCTATGAATAGGAGAGATATCCTATTAATACAAAGCAACACCCTCGTGTATGGGATTTTGAAGAACATGCTCAAACCGATGGTGATGATGATATGAATGAAGCAACATTAAACCGACGAAAAGAATTTTATCGAAGAATTCGACCACGTACACCATGGGTACCTGTTTGGTAAACAAATGAATTTTTCTTTGCTTGTATATTTTGTAAAATTATTTCATTGAAATAAAAGAAAACTTTCATAGTTAATAACTAAATTTTTATTAATAATAAAGTCTTATGTCATATAAATATAGTAAATTCTTTTTTTATTTTCTAAGAATATGAATGTTCTTCAATAGGTTTGTGAATTTAAGCTCTTTTGACAAATTTTTTGAATTCTAAAGGAAAGAAGAAAATATATAAATGATAAAAAAAATATGAGATAGTATATATCGTTTTTTTTTTACCGTCAAAAGTAATTCTTCCGTCATGATCAACATCAAGACGTTTCATAAAACCTTGAATTTCTTGTTCAGCAATTTCTTGTGGTACACCAAGCATTTCTTGCATTGGTACATAATACTGTTTTAATTCGGCAACTGTAATTGATTTATCATCGTTTTTATCAAGTCGTCTAAATTCTTTTTGAAGTTGTTCATCAGAAAGATTAGCCATTATATAATTTTGGATACTAATGTGTTTGTATGTTTTATTTTAAGATAAATAAATCCACTTTGATAAAACTAGTATATTTATATGCATAACTTGTTGTCATAATCATGCTTCACTGATTTTTTTCCCCTTATTTATAATCTATATTACTTTCTAGCATTAATATATCGAGAAAAGGTCATTATTTTTATTTCGGATTATTCATGACGCACTTGACTGATTTTCTTTTTTTGGTATAGATGAATAATAAGACAAAATAAAGTGTATGTTATTGTCGTAACCAATGATAATGATATTACAAAAGAATAACGACTTATGGTAAATGAATAAGAAAATAAATCGTAGGATTAACCTCAGTTTATTTTGACACTATTCAGTTTATGATGAAAATTTTTACATAAATTTAAATAAAAAATAGCATAAATAAAATGAAGAAAATTTTAAAAGAAAGAAAAATTTTGGATTTTTTTTTCTATCAATGTCAAATTCAAAATCCTGTTAGATTCATGTAGAGCCGTATTTGAATATTTTTTGTATGTCAAAATCATAGAAGAAGCACTGTAAATGCGTAAAATATATGTCTATTAATAGTGTTATCAAATTAAAAAGATTAATTGAGATTTATTAGTAAAAATATGCTACAAAAATTTCTAAACAGGTTCTATCACGTGTCTTTTCAAATCATTGTGATATGGTCGCTTTGAGGAATGATGAAGATGACTTTACTATAAACCACTTTTTTTTTTATCAGCTATCAGAAAATCAAAACAAAAAATGATAGTCGTTACATATATGTAGTATTCTTTAAAAATAAAATAATTTACAATTTGAATTTTTTGCAAAAGTAAATGTCTTGTCAAGTACAGTGACTGTCGAAATTATTCCAACCAGTAGATTAATTTATTTTATTTTGCGTATATCTCAAAAATTAGATGAACTGAAACAATTTGTTTTTCATTAAATTATAGCTCATAGTTTCTAGTAGACTAATAAAAAAAATATTAGATCATTTCATCAATATGTTTACTTTTTATTGATGATACAATTATAACATGCTGTTCTTTTATCCTTTCAAAATTATCTAACTACTTGCTTTTTCAAATTATTGCTTGCTTATTTGAAATTGAAATTTTCTTTATGATACATGATTCAATTGAACAAAGTGCTCTCTACATAACAAACACTTTTTATTTAAATATAGGTTAAAACATATTGTCTTTTTGATCTGTATCAGAAATTTCGAACAAAAACAAAAGACAATAAAAGTACTTTTTGTTTTTTCATATGATATTTAGCCAATTTTATTGTTTAATACATCATTAGCAAGGGCGCTATAAATTGAATGAATTATTCTCTTTAGATAGATATGGCATATTGGAAAATTGTGCTGTTCATCCCTTATGTGTACATTAATATCAGACAGACCTTCTTGCATTGAACAAATTGCAAAAAAATTGACCGTAGTCCCAACAACAGCCAAAGTACAGATTTCATTAATAATATAATTCATTTTTGTGTCAAGTATCTGTAGATCGAGGATGCCGTTTAGAGCAACATGACATTTTAAGGTTTATTTGAGACATTTGTGTTTGGTGAGATGTATATTCAGTCTATTTCTGCAATTAGAGGAAGTTTTATACTCCTGCTATTTATAAAGCAACAAAAGTTCTATGGAAAAACATTTTCTGCAATTCCACGCTTTTAAAACAATTTTCATAAACTCCTTTGAATACGTGAATGAGACTGTACAAGAAAGTCTGTCTGGTATTGGTGTATACATAGGAATAGAATACCTTATGCAATATGTAGTGCTCTTACAAATGATGTATTGAACGATAAAATTGATTAGATATCATATGAATAGTGACTTTTGTTGCTTTTCTGTTCAAAATTTCCGGTATATGTCTAAACTATAATGTTTTGTTTACTCACACTCAATAAAAAGTGCTCCTTATGTAGAGAGCTATTTATTCTAATGAATCATATACTATAAAGAAAATCTCAATTTAGAACAGGCAAGCAACAGTATAAAAAAATAAGTAGTTGCATAATTTTGAAGAGATGAAAAAAGGCATGTTACGATTGTATCATGAATAAAAAATAAACACGTCAATGCAATGCTTTGAATTTTTTTATTCGTAAAAAAGAAATTATGGTCTGTGACAACAGATTATTCTAGTTTTTAAGGTGTATACAACATAAAATAAAATAATCTACTGATTGAATAATTTTGATAGACACTATATGTTCAAATTACTCTAATAATTATACATTTCAAAATTTTTCTTGAGTGTAATTTCTACAAATTCAGATAAATATAGTTTCCATCACATTTATCATTTGATATAAATGATTTACAAGTATTTTTCGATAGATCTTTTGTAATATATCATTCAAGTCTATGAATAGTACTACTAACAATGTAATAGAAATTTAAAATGTAACGGAAAACATATGTCACAATAACGAAACTCATCTGTTAGATTTTAAAACAAAGTCAGCATCAACAATGTAAGACATATTAATTCGGATTTCCATATCAAAAGACATTCGAGTTACACTCGAATTCAATTATATTTTGAAAGCATTGTTTCATTTTAATGATCTTTTTTTGATATTTCTCATTTAGATTATTCAAAAACACTTCATAACCTACATATGCCTTATTTTAAAACAATTATTCTTTCATCTGATACTCTATACGTTTAAGTAATTTAATCTAAATTGAAAAATACTATTCGTTCAATAAAAATAGAACTGCTATCCGTTTCAGAATAACTGCAAGTTTCTATGATGTTTTCTATCAAACGTTATTCAAAAAACAGTGTAGCATCTTGTATGTTGAAATGCATAATAGACAATGAGTTCTGAAATGAATGGACAATTTCAGTTTCATCAAAAAAATGGACTTTATCTATCTCTTATTCAGAGTTGAAGACATGATTAATTAATGTTTTTTATTTACATTAGATGAATAAAAAAAACAATATATTACAAAACAATAGGTTGCTTTTGTAAATGGCAATGTTCTTCTAAATATCTTACAATACGTTCACAATCAATTCCTTCACGTTGTACATAAAAATAATCATTCTGTGATAAATCAACAATAGTTGATCCACGTCGATCATTTGATGCTAATAGACCAGCATCAATAACTAAATCGACTTGTGACCATAATGGTTTAAATTCTTCAATACAAATTGAACTTGGTTCATTAGAAATATTAGCACTAGTTAATGCGATTGGTTCATTTAAATGTTGTGCTAATTCAATCATAAATTGACAATTTGGTATACGAATAGCTACATTAGTTACATTTGGATTGAAATAAGATGGCAATGATGGTTGTCGTTCAAACAAAAGTGTTACAGGACCAGGAAGAAGATCATTACTAGATAATTGTTCTTTAGTTAAAGTCGGTTTTGACCAAGTAAATATATCATCAACATAACCAACTGCCATTGCCAATGGTTTAGTAAATGATCGACCTTTAATTTCATAGAGTCGTCGAATAGCTTGTTCACTATTAACTAATGCAGCAAGCCCATAAATTGTATCCGTTGGGACAGCAATAACACCATTATTTTTTAAAATCGAAATACATCGATCTATTAGATTATATTCATTCACTAATACTACATTATCAGTTGGCATGATTTTTGTTTGAATAAAAGAAATAACAGTAGAATATATGATTGATAATTCGAAGAAAATTTATACCAATCCATGAAGTCATTCAGTTCAGAATTACGTTTGCTGATGCAATATTACAATTTCATTTCACAACCAAATATTTATTTACATCAGAACAATTTCTTAAGCTGCCATTGAAAGGACAATGATCGATTCTTGCTTCTAGAAATAAATATTTTTTTTCTTTTAAATGTAACTTGAACATTTATTCTTTCTTTACTTTTTACTTATCCAATAAATCAATGATATAGAAGTTTTTCTAGGGGTCGCTCTCGCATGATAGCAGTATACTAATATCAAATAAGATATAATTAAAATTATGCCTGTGTTATCAGCACATAATTAATAATGGAATCTCCTCAGATATCCTCTTCTAATTTCAACGACTTTTTTCCTATAGATACCACATAATGTTCTAATAAAAAGCCTAACAGGATTTGAATTTCTATTGAGACTTGAATAAGATATCAAATTGTTAATATACCTCTTTCAGAACTACTAGAAAGCTATTTTTTTCTGGCCTGTAATGCCTCGAGGTCGATTGATGGTTTTGATTATATCAGTTCTGTTTTGCAAAATTCAAAAAAATGTAATCATGATAGTACAAACAACATTTGATTAGGCGTGTACAATGAAAATATAAAAGAAAATGTACAACACAGATGTACAGAATAAGCGACGTTTATAATAGCAGACAAGGACATTTATTTTTGACAATCAATGTTTGAAGCAGCACAAGCGGACAATTAATCATCCAATTGCTTCGGGTTTAAACAAGTTTTTCTGTCAGTCCGTGTAAGTTCTATGGTACTAAATTGACGTTCGATTCAAGCGTTTGTTTCTAAACTCGAATGAATTTGTCAAAATACTCTCGAATAGTAAGTTCAGACATCAACATTTGATCTCCAAAGCTTAACAGCCAGACCAACAACTCTGATCTCGTTTCTAAAAGCAACTGTAGGATCTTAGGTTTTTTTTGAAAAACTCGTATTTTCAAATTTTGATCAGATACTCTGGCCCATACAGACAACTCAACTAGACTAACTTCCATTAAAAAGAAATCAGAAGTTTTGAACAAATTCTCTTCAAGGTATGACCTTTGTCCATGGATAGCTTGTACAAAATGCATTTTTTTTCAAATCTTCATATCTTGAAGAGACTTTGTTTAAAACTTTTGAATTCTTTTATGTAAGCTAGTCTAGTTGAGTTCAGATCTTTATTGGAACATTATTGAGTATCTATAAGCAAAAAAGAAATCATTGAAATTTGAAGGAGACATCTGAGAAAGTTTCCTCATAAGATACAACGATGCAATTCGTTATCTTTATGAGTTATAATAATTGAAAAAGAAATACTTTCTCGAGAAATCAGTTTCAGAAGAAATTGATGATTTTCTACAAGAAAAAAACATAACCAGTGATATTATTTTCCACAAAATAAAATTCATATAAAAAACTTGCTAGAAAAAACATGTGCATATGTTCGTGCTACATCAAAATCAATTGAATGTATGTCTTCTCAAAGCGATTTTTTAATGAGATTGCATTATTCAAAATTTTCATGAACTAATATTTACATTTTAACTTCTTTTAAATGCAATAAGACATTAAATATAAATATTAATAGATAATTTTTGCTTGTAAACAACTTCAAGTTTAGGTTTTTGTTTAAAGCTCGGAACTAGATATCGTGTCATGAAAAATTCAAAAATATTGACTCAACTCAAAAAGTGACTTGACTTGTCCAACCCTGACTATATATTAACTGTATCTAACGGATAAACTCAACTACATAGTCAAGGTAATTTACTTATCGAATAATTTTGGAAAATTTTCCAATAGTTTAAAATATTTCTAAATATCTATTTATTTTATTTGTCATTGAAATTGATCTAAAAGTTTTCATTGATTATATCTACTGTACGCCAAATAATTTCAATAAAGCACGTCGAAATTATCTTGATGGCCTCTATAACATTGATAGAAATCGTTTATAGTCATACTTTCTGTTTATTAGTTCTCGTCATTATAACTGTCAATAGTTTTTTTTCCGAATTATTTGATTGATCATATGTGTTGATTATCAATCCTATATATTTCCAGTCTATTGCAGGGTATTACGAACAAAATGAAATCAAGAAATTTCAATCTGAAATTTTTGTCGAAAACTAAACCTCATAGTCCTTATAATATTCAGCAAATTTCAGCCAAAATCGATAGTTTCATCTCAAGATGTTAAATGCAAAAGAAATCGAGTGTTTTTTTTAGAAAAGTCCTCGTTTTTCTGCACACCTCTTATATCGGTAATAGGGAATCCATTTTGGTTGACACCTTCAGAATATTTTAAGAGGTATGAGGTCTGTTTTTGGTCGAAATTTCATATTGAAATTCCTTGATTTGATTTTGCTCGATAATATCCTGAAATAGACTAAAAGTTCAGTAAAATTATCATAACTCCAGAATAAAGGCTTAACATAAAAAATCCTTTTATGGTTTTTATCTACAGTACGGAGCAAAATATGTCTTCAAACAGAGTGCATCAGTTGATGAAATTTTCTCATGAGTCATTGTCTAACACATTGGTTTCATAGAAATAACTTCTACGTTTTACAATATTTAAAAGATAGAATCAAATTCCTTTTTGCTATTTAATAATTTATGTCAAGGACATAAAAAAATCCTAAGATGCTTTTTAAAATCCATCACTGTCAACAAATTTCATTCGATATAAATTAGAAAATGCTACACAAATTGATACCTCGTGCTCTTTTGATGTTTTCTTTTGATGTTTATAATGTCTGTAAATGTAAAAAAGGTCAATGTCTATCTCATCACCAGTAAGAATAGTGAAGTTATCTCATACTGAGTATACAAATGACTATCAGATTGTTAATAAATATAGACGAGGCATAGACTGATACCTCTCTATTGTTCATTTACTATTACACAATCATAAGTTAACTTGCTAATTAGAAGTGAAAGAAAGTTCATTGTCTTTTCAATATAAATAAAAGAAAAAACTATCAGATTGATGAAATAAGATTACTAAAAGAGGAGGGGGGAATGAAGAAAAAAAAATTCTTTCTTTTTTTTTCCTTTTATTAGAAAAAAAAATACTAATAATAATGACATTTCTATTTTTATAATCAAGTAGGTGAGTATAGTTTCTACAATTACAAATATATTGTAGAATGATAATTATAAAGCGTAAAATGAAAAGGTCATCGTTTTAAGTAATGAATGAAGCAAGAGATTAGTTTTTGCTTCTTTGCTCTCTCATTTATCTCGTGCTTATGTTATTCTTTTCTTGCTATACTGATTGATGATGGTCAACTAAGAATAGTTCACACGCACACGCCATAAATTGTTTCCGATGTCATTGTTAAGACCTTGATCGATCTTTCTCGTCAATATTTGAGAACGATTAGAATGTAAACTTATCAAGTTGAATTTTTTTTTCTCATTAATATTAGCATAACCATTTATGTTCATCAGACTAATTGTTCATTCTAGCATATAATCAAAATAGATTTTTGTATTTCCTTTTTTTTTTTTTTCTTATATGTTTCTGACAATTAAGTAATGTTTGCCGGGTGCATCTCTCTATTTATCGTTATGTATAAATGGAAAAAGATTTATGATTAAGCCACAAGATCTTTCTCATTTCTTTTTTTCTTCTCTCTCTCTCTCTCTTGTCTCTTTCCACATCAGCAATTTCTGGCTAAAAAAAACTTCTCGTTACTACAACTGCGATAAATGTCAGAACACTGTTGTTGCTTGCATGGTGAAGGAAGCAAAGGAAAGCGAATAGAAATGTATAAACACATTGTGTGTGTGTGTGCATGCTTTCTCGACAGCTAAGTCAGCCCGCTGTTCGCCTGGATGACATGTTTAATTCTTCTTACTATGACTGACGTTGCGATCGTCATTCATCGCTTCTGCCGCTCATGATGTCATTTGGTCATTAGCTAACAACGATAGATTCTTTTTTTTCTCCATCCATCGTCTCCTATAGTTAGTTGTCGTAGTACTACTTAAAGAATACTCGTTGTCGTTGATGATGAGGTTATCGTTCGTTGTTGTTCTCAATCCATTTTCTGTTCAGATATATATATATATATATATAGTTCTTATGCTATCCCTTCCTACTTATAGAATAGCAGCGGATGCTGTGTCGGTTGCACACAGGAAATGCTTTTGAATAACATCAAGAATAGCCAGTAAAGACAGATAGACAAAGAAGAAAAATTTTAGTCTTTGAATCTCTACCGCCGACTTCATTGTCATTTTATCATTAACATTACTATCGGTGAGTTGATGACTGCCCTTGTATGCATTGAAAAGATTAAATCTCTTTTCTTCTCTTTCTTCGTTATGTCTCGACTTACTCTATTTCTAGGTGTGTACATCTATAGTAGATACAGGGTAATTGCCAGAACACCACAATTTACACATGCACACTGTAATCGGACACTCGTGCACATACAATCATACATTGGAAGGGCTAGATCTTTTTTCTTTCGCTCCTTCTCATTCTCTCTCTCTCTATTTCTAATCATACAATAGCGTTGATTGGAAATTTTCCTTTCGATGTATTTTATTTTCTTAATAATACCCAAGAAAAAAAGAAACGAGTATGACAATATTGTCTAATCATATTGAATTAGTAGAATAGCAAGAAAACCAACTATGTCTATCTGTTGGGACTAATTTTTGACATACATATGCCAATAAACACTGAAGCGCATGATGACAATCATTGTCACCAAGTGTTTGCTGTCAAACAAACTCGGCATAGACGTTTGCACAATTTATACTAGTAAAGGCGGTGAAGCCATTAAATAAATGAGGAGAAAAGGAGAGAAAGACAGAGTTCCTGTCTCCATTTTTATGACTTCTTCTCTTTTTTTTTCATTGTTTTAAAAGCAATAAAAAAATAGCAGTAACATTCTTCCTCTCATGCCACTCATTGTAGAGTTCGGTCACTTGTTAAGATATTATAAGGATTGTATTATGAAATCGTATACTCAGTCTAATATTCAATATATATAGAAAGAATAGGGTGAGTGATCATTCGTATGGATATATGTATATTCATATCAACAATAACAACAGTTGCTCCTTCTTATTTCTTCTGTCTCACCTCTCTCTCTCCCGTATGTCGTATCTTCGGGTAACACTGTCGTACGCCCTATCGACCGTTCAATATCCTCACTTTCTTTTTTTTTGTTCTCTTCGTTTTTCTTTGAGGGCATTGTTGGCTTGGTAGAAAAAGTAATGACTGTACACACACATATATATATATACATAGTGAGAAGAAAGAACAGCCGATAAAAAAATTCTTTTGAATACACACGAGCACCTCTACACAATTCATCGTCTATGTATACATTCACGTTGATGTAGACCTAAAAGAAGAATATAAGAGCTATGAAAACAATTAATTTCTTTTCAACCAATTGATTTTTTAATAATACAAACTTTTGCCATCAATTGTTATTTTTTGTTAACATGATGAATATAAGGTAGGTCGAATAAGTTAGAATTTATTTCCAAATATAGACACAAAAAGGAAAAAAGAAAGCTAATAGTAAAGTTTGAATATGATTTATATCATTCATATGCGTGTTGGTGAGATAGAACGTTTTTGACAAGTCTTTTCATCTTATTCCGGTTCTTTTCTTCTCTTCTTCTCTTTCGACATTAGAAGATAGATCATCATCATTAACATGCTTTTATTTTAGCACCGTCCTTGATGATAGTATGAACACATATTTTGTATGTAAAAATGGTCAAAATGTGTCATGGACATCTGTATGTGATGGCCGTAATCAATGTACAGATGGCTCAGATGAACGTAATTGTAAGTTTTTTGATAAATGAAATTATGAAGGTTTTAACTATATGGTTATATAATATTAAATATGTTCTCTATCTCATTTTAATGCATTCGGACAAGATTTTTCTTTTTTTGTATTTTGAAGTGTCCTTTTTTTATTCTTCTTATAAAGAGTTGAAGATTTATATAAAAGAAAAACTTAATGTCCAATATTTGTAGGTTATTGCCAAGGTGATGTTTATGCTTGTTTGCAAGGCAATAATGTTAGTTGTCGAGTAGCATGCACTACCTATGGCCGTGTCACTTGTTTAACCTATCAAAATACACGTGCTTGCGAACAGTATATTCGAGAACGTAGTAAGTCAAATTATAGCTGTTTTCTGACTTATATATATGTGTGTATGATTCATTGATTTTATTATGATATCTAGGTAGTACTACTTATTTTGATATTAATTCCGCCGGTGATTCATCTATAGCAACAAATAGTTTTGATGCACTTCGATATTCAGGTAAGTAATAGGAGAAAGAAGAAACAAAAGATTTTTTTTCTTGAATATGATATTTTTGTTTTTTCTAGCTTTTCTAGCCGGCGGTATTCTATTAGTTGTTTCTCTTCTTTCATTAATTATTTATATTATTCGTAAAAATCCTTCTCAATTATTATTCTTATGTACTAATAAATCATTAAGTCGAAATTCAAATCGAAAATTTACAAATCGTTTAACATTAGAATCATCGATTTCACAACAACATCATCAACGACAATCACCTCCTTCATTAAATTTATCTCGTCAACGTTATACACCAGCACCTGATATTAATGATTTGCCACCATCTTATTATTCGGATCGAAATCCAACATCAATAGGTGATTGTTATGAACCACCACCTTATCCTGGTCCACCATTATTTTCATCAGTTCAACGTTCGGATTCAATCTATTACGAGACAATAAAAACTCCGTCAACATCAAATTCAATGTCTATGCTACATCCAATGCCATTGCCTGAACCACGTGCTTTTGCAAATGTTCGAACACATCGTGTGTGATAAGAAAAAAAAGTTAATTGAACAAATGAAAGTTTTTTATTCGTTTTTCTTTGTCTATTATTTAAATATGTAATAAGAAAGAAAACTTCTTTCTGTTTTTTTTTTACTGGCCTCCACCAAACAGTCGAGCTAAAACACTTGTTCCAGCACTACTCGTTCCTCCCGATGGTGGATATGAAGATGATGACGGTGGAGGATAATTTGTTGGAGGTGGCGGAGGATAATTCGATGGAGGTGGTGGAGAATACGGTGGAGGATAGTTTGTTGGAGGTGGTGCGTAGTTAGGTGGCATCGATGATGGCGGATAGTTGGATTGTGGAGGTGGTGAACCTGGATGAGGAATATGATTCCATACAGATTGAACTGCATCTAGTATGTGCACAAAAGAAAAAGAAAAGTTGATTTAGGAAAGTAGAACCATGTTAATAATTACCACCAGGTTGTCCATGAAGATATTGCCCAATTCTGTCCCAAACATGTGCTGTGGCTGGAGAACCATCCGGATTAAAACCAGGACCATGTGTTGCAGCATTCCAAACATGTGATACGGCACCATAAGGATCTTATCACGAAAAACAAGATCATAGGAAAAAAACGAAAACAAGAAAAGCAAAGCTAACCTGGTTGATTTGCATGAGAAGCTGCATTCCAAACATGTGACACGGCACCATAAGGATCTTATCACGAAAAACAAGATCATAGGAAAAAAACGAAAACAAGAAAAGCAAAGCTAACCTGGTTGATTTGCATGAGAAGCTGCATTCCAAACATGTGACACGGCACCATAAGGATCTTATCACGAAAAACAAGATCATAGGAAAAAAACGAAAACAAGAAAAGCAAAGCTAACCTGGTTGATTNAGAAAAGCGAAGCTAACCTGGTTGATTTGCATGAGAAGCGGCATTCCAAGCATTTGATACTGCAGAACGAGGATCTTATCACGAAAGAAAATGATGATAGGAAAAAAACGAAAACGAGAAAAGCGAAGCTAACCTGGTTGATTTGCATGAGAAGCTACATTCCAAGCATTTGATACTGCAGAACGAGGATCTTATCACGAAAGAAAATGATGATAGGAAAAAAACGAAAACAAGAAAAGCGAAGCTAACCTGGTTGATTTGCATGAGAAGCGGCATTCCAAGCATTTGATACTGCAGAACGAGGATCTTATCACGAAAGAAAATGATGATAGGAAAAAAACGAAAACGAGAAAAGCGAAGCTAACCTGGTTGATTCGCATGAGAAGCGGCATTCCAAACATGTGATACTGCGGTATTAGGATCTTATCACGAAAAAATATGATCATAGGAGAAAAATAAAACAAGAAAATCAAATCTAACTTATTGCATTTGCATGGGAAGCTGCATTCCAAGCATTTGATACTGCGGAATGAGGATCTTATCGCGAAGAAAAAAGATCTTAGAAGAAAAAAGAAAGCAAGAAAATTGAAGCTAACCCATTGTATTTGCATGAGAAGCTGCATTCCACACGTGTGATATTGCAGAACGAGGATCTTATCACGATAAAATGATCATAGGAAAAAAAGAAAACAAGAATATCGAAGCTAACCTGGTTGATTTGCATGAGAAGCTGCATTCCAAGCATTTGATACTGCAGAACGAGGATCTTATCACGATAAAATGATCATAGGGAAAAAAGAAAACAAGAATATCGAAGCTAACCTGGTTGATTTGCATGAGAAGCTGCATTCCACACATGGGATATTGCAGAACGAGGATCTTATCACGATAAAATGATCATAGGGAGAAAAGAAAACAAGAACATCGAAGCTAACCTATTTGATTTGCATGGGAAGCAGCATTCCAAACATGTGATACTGCGGAATGAGGATCTGAATAGAAGAGATGTATTGTATAAAAGAGTTTTTCCGGTAATTTTTACATCTACTTACTATGTTAACACTACATCTATAGAAATACTATCAATCTATTCTATTCTGCAAACATACAAACTAAAAAAGACTATTATTTAGTAGCCTATATAATATGCTTGTCCTATATAACAATGTGACTACAGACATGCTACTATAGTAGGAGCGTGCAAATGAAGACAACAAATACCTGGAAATGGTAAATTAGATGAACGCTGTATTGTACATGGATCAATGCCAAGTTGACGAAGAATATTATCGATTGGTACATTGTCTAGAAATAAACGGCAACGTATGATTATTCTTCCATTTTGTTTAAATTTATTGAGATTAAGTTTTTACCAGGTACATTGAATATTGCCGTTTGTCCAGTTGATTGACCAAATGCTGGCACTGTTGATACACCAGAACCATAGGCAGCTAAACCTCCCATTGTATTTGGTGTACATACACAAGTTAATGGCGTGCCATAAATCGATGGTGAGATTGTATTTGGTTGTCCACCTTGCATAATAACAATATTTGGTTGAGATTGACCAAGAGCACCACAATTCGGCTGTATTGATGTATATGGATTATAGGAGACAAGGGATGAAGGAGAGACCTAAATAAGAATAAAAAATAAAGTTACATCGAATGAAATGTTATATTTACTGTTGGATAAATTGATTGATTGCCACCAATTTGACACAAAAGTTGATTGATATCCGTACGACCAGCTACTTGCTGATAAGGAAGTTGCGTACAAGGTGCCATAACAACTTCACGTTGAACACGAACATGTGGTGAACCATATTGAACAACAATTGGTCTTGTCACTGGTTGCATGAGAGGTGGTAAACGTTCATAAAGAATACGTCGTTGTCTTGGCGGCAGTGGAAGCCATCGTTCAATAATAACATCTCGAGGTTTGGGTGGTAATGGTGGATATTGTTCGATAATTACTTGACGTGGTGGTTTTGGTCCAGGTGGGACTATTTTATCAATTACAGTTGTGCCTAAGACATCGATAGAATAAGAAAAATTGAAAACACTAGGAAAACTAAAATATTGTTAACCTTCAGGAGGTGGCATTGGTGGTGGACGCTAAATGAACGAATTGACATGGAAAGATTTTAGAAAAGCAAAATGCAAACCTCGCGAATAGTAACTGGTGGTGGAGTAGGAGGCGGAGGTGGAGCACGTTTGATTACCTAAGGAAGACAGAGATTATTATTAAGCTTTCGTGGATGATATTTTCTTGCAATAGGTGGATCAGGTGGTGGTGCAGGAGGTTGTTTTTCTCGGACAATAATAGTTCCACCAACAGGTGGTGTCGGTGGTTGTAGATATCTTACAAAGACCTATTATCGATCAAAAATTAATATACAAAAAAAAAAGATAAATTTCTTTCACTCGTTGTTTGTAGACAACATCGTCTTGTGGAGGACGTTGAACAACACGAGTATTTGGATCACGTTTCATATTCTATTGTTGAATAAAAGTTAAATTTTCATTAAAAATTTAATCATAATAAATATTTTACTTCAATGTCAACATCAAGTTGTTGTTGATGCATATTAGATGGAAGAAAATGTGTAGGAGATGAACTACCATGTAAAGGACTTGATTGGTGACCATATGATTGAGGTAGTATTGGTGGCGATAATGATCTAGTACCACCATCATAATGTGATGTTGAATAAAAAGGTGTTTGATGAAAGGATGATGATCGATTGAGAGGATCTATTGGAGAACCACCAGTATTATAACCAAGATTCAGACCAGGCATTGGAGAAGATAATGATGTTGTTTGTCCAAATGGCATATTGAGTGGTGGTGGAGACGATGAAGGATTAGTATTCAGAAATCGTTCATCAAGTAAATGTGCATGACCAGACTGGCGAAGCCAGTCGATCATTGCTTGATCCTGCGATACGTCTTGTAATGGCATCTGGCTATAAAACTATCCTTTTTTGTTACTCATCTGAAAGACTATAAAAGAAAAATCATTTATGATATACTTTTTTTTTCAACATCACGAATAGTCTAAGGATAAAATTTCCGACGATAATGGCTACCTTTCTTTTTTTTTTTAGGCTCTTAGAAGCAATAGATCATAACCTCAAACATACTTGTTCATACATATACATAAAATATTACACAAGTTGATCGGTTGAAAAGAATGTGAGCAAAAGGCAGAAAGAAAAAAGAGACAACCCATTTTTTACTTTACCTACGTATATGCATATTCGTCCTTTCATGGTTTTTGACTCTTATATCTTTCGCATTGTCTCATACTCATTTTTTCACGTTTGCACAAGCCGTTCTATACAATAAACCACATTATCCGTGATGGGTCACCTTGAAAACAAAAGAAGAGAGCACAAAAAAACCAATCTATAATTTTGATAACTCATTTTTTGTTCTATAAAGACGAGCATCAAAATGAAAATATTAATTATCTGTGTTCATTCTTGTCTTCTATATTCTATCGATAAACATAGAAGGTCATTCAACTATATATATATATATGCATGTGATGGGTTTTTCAAGGTTCCATCTGAGATACATCGATGCATCGTGCGTTAACGATGCAGCGATGCGCATCATGAGTTGACACCATAAATCGTAATTTGATAACAAAAAAAGAACGACTGAGGAAGAAAACTGTAAAATATGTGTCTTATATTTAAATGATAACATAGATATTTGCCCTGTCATATGTATTAAAAAAAACTTAAAGTTTTTTGAAAATATAAAAATACCATAAATATGAAGAACAGATTAAAATTTCAAAAAAAGATTTAATCAGAGTTTTTTTTTATTTATTTTGTTCATTGATTATAGAAAAGAACTTTTATTATTTTTGAATTGTTTGTATTTCTAATTAATACTTCTATATTTTAATATTTAAAAAAGAACTTTCTATTTATAAGATTTCGGATTTCTATATGTATCTATCTATCTATGTATATATATATAGATAGATCACCAAAGATTAGTCACCAAGAGCTGATTCATTGTTTATATACTACATATGTATATGCATTGAGTGTACGCAAACTGTCAACTAGACATCCTTCAGTTATTTATACAATCACCTTGGACTTGTTTTACTTGTCAAGTTGATTTATGATTATATCAAACAGAATTAATCTTTTCGTTAATACAGGGTGTTCCAAAAATAATCTACCTAAAAGAAAATCGTTTATGTCCACTGTATATTAGCCAATTGAGCTGGCTTTTTTCTGATGATAGAGGAGACTTTCAAGTTTTCATTCACAAAGATAAAGTTTACGAATGGTACTGAAAATCATTACTATTGACTTCAATACCTAATTGAAGTTCGTTCCGGTACGATAAAACAGTATACGACATTTTTTATTTAATTATTTCAATTTTTTCGCAATTTCCGATCTTAAATCATCCAGACCTTCAACTCTTGCTTTATAAACATTGGTTCAGATGTGTTCTTATAAAAAGAAGTGTAACAACGTAAATCTTAATGACTGCGCAAACTGAAATCGTTCACGTCTTGTAGCTCATCAGTTATCAATGTTTTCCTTGTGCTACGGATAAATTATTCAGTAGAAATGTATCATTGACTGGTTTTTTTTTCTTGAAAAATGTTCAAAAGAAGATTTATAGAGCATATGTGAAAAATTTAGATAGTTTAAAGTCAAAGATTACGAAAAAAGTTGAAATAACTAAATGAAAAACGTCGTATATGGTTTCAGCATACTGTAAAAGATTTCAATTTCGGATTGAAGCCAATAGTAATGATTTTCATCACCATTCGTAAACTTTATCTTCGCGAATAAAACTTGAAAGTCTCCTTTATCATCAGAAAAAAATCAGTTCAATTGACTGAAATAGAGTGGAGATAAACGATTTTCTTTTTCGTAGATTATTTCTGGGACACCATATATTTTACTTATAAAAATAAATTCAACATTATATGATAGCTATATATACTTAGGGCATACCAAGAGTAGTGATCTTGACAGATAAAAACTTACAAGAAAGAGTTAATCAAATTTTTGTTTCAGCAAGCATTTAGTTACACATAATTGATCTGTTCGAAGACATTTGTTCAAAGTATTTTTCAAATCATCTTTGCTTAAAAAATGCATCATAGCAATCAGCAACTATTTCCATTAATCAAATTTTATTGGACGTGACTGACTACCGAAATATAGTGAATATATGAAGTGTTAGTAGATGACAAATTCTCGATACGAAGTATATAAATTGGTTTTGATTCTTTGAACTAGAAGAACTACAACTGAACAATCTCCATCAGCTACAGTTAGGCGCAGTAATTTAGCCTGAAACCAATGTTTCGTTGTTTTTTTTTCTAAAACCAACTAGTCAAATACTCTAAAGAACTAGCAAATATGGAAAGATGATAAATTTCTAATCACAAAACATTATATCAATGATTCTCTAAAACTATTTATTAATAAAATGAAAAGACAAAGATGATCGATTAGAGCTCAAGACAACGATCTCCAACTATATATTCATCAAGATGCTTTGACTATCTTGTATCAGAACGTATAATAATTATTTAACATCTACCTTATTCTGTGGATAAAGTAAAAGAGATTTTTCAGGTGCTTGATCTAATTGGTAAAATTCATTAATCAAATAGCGCTTAATCACTACACGAAGTGCCATAAGCAAGATGATGAATACTTTAATCAAAGATTATTTAAAAATAACTTTAATAAATATCTTCTAACAAATTGATTATGCGCGATAAAGTATGGCTACTAGTTCAAATACTTGATTAACTCTTTCCTGAATTATTTTATCTACTAAAATCACTACTTTTAATTTGCTCTAAGTTCGTCAACGTCTGAAATCATAATCAATATGTACTCTGTAACCGTCACTTTATCTCGGAACAATTATTTGAACATTATCATAATTTAACAAATTCATATTTCTTCTGCTCTTAATATCATAATATGGTGTGAAGGTATGAGTTTTCTGTTTCGTAATACTCATACCTAAGTCGTATTACTGGTTTTCCTAAACATGTTGAATACTTGGACAATTTAGAAGTCTCTCAGTATTCTATTGTGATGAGAAGTTTACTGCAAAAATCTAAGATGATAAGTGGAATGCTTGATGACGACAACAGTTCCATCAAGATCCAGAATGGAATGTGCTACTCGTTTATCGTATTAAATATTACAAATGATGATAAGTTTAAACAAAATGATTCTTGAGTTTTGACTAGATCGTTGTATACTTCTTTGAGTAGTGCATGACTAATTATATCAATCAGGTAGTGAAATCATTCATACATTAATTAAAACATGGAATTTTTTAACATAAAAATTGTAGTAATAGGACGAGCAACAACAAAAAATAATATCTAAATCAAAAATTGATTTAGTAGATTTTTATTTATTATTCAATAGCGCCACAAGATATTACAAGACGAGATATAATACATCGTTCGTTAAATTTTCGGCCATTTCTATGAGGCCATCATCAGAACATATATTTGATGGAATATATAATAATCAATTTCATAATGATTGTTGTACAATTATTTGTACGATATGAATGAAATAAATAAATATCAAGATCATTAAATGAAAGTAAACCTATATCATGAACATTACCACTTGATACAGAATTAACATCTAATCTACTAAATCAATTTTTGATTTAGATATTATTTTTTGTTGTTGCTCGTCCTATTACTACAATTTTTATAGTGAAATCATTGTTAAAATATATTAATATGCCGTCTGTATCTATATTTGTTTCTTATCAAATGCAACACTTGTTCATGATAGTAAGAATAGTAATAGAATATTCGTGGATATTTTGTATCCAGATTGTATTAGCATCTAACATAAACAATTTTGAATATTTTGATTTTGTTTTAATCGAATCAACTAACTTTATTCTGATGATAGAAGACAGATTCAAGTTTTTATTTTTATAAGATAAATTCACAAGTATTATTCAAAGTCATCCATTTAGATTGACATTGTGAAATTTTACATAATTGACTCAATATCAATGATCAAGCATTTCATTTTGAAAATTTTAAATCTCGAAAAAGTCGTGTAGAAAAATTCTGAAATTTTCCACACACGTTAGTCTAAGTGAGAGTTTTGTGTGCATTAAGTTTACAGTCAGAATTCGACAATAAGAATTTATTAAAAATATGGAATCCTATTGAAAGAAACAATGGAGTCGAGCATCTACGAATTTCCATATTAGAAATGATTCTTTCAAATTGTTCTGAACTTTGTTTTTTTCATTCTTTTAAACTTCCTGGTTGTTTTCAGATTATTTTCAATTGAAATCTACGTTTTGTTCCATGAATTCTACGAGAATCAATTTACTAGAAAATCAATAACTTGGTGGAATCGCAGCATCTACTATTACTGGGTAGAATATGTACTCGATAACCTTTAATCATTTGCGACGATCCTTCTCCTCATAAGTATGCTTGTAAGTCAGAAAAAGGTTTAATTTTTCTATGACGGTCAAGATTCATAGCTTTGAAAATTTCCTGTAAATTTCTCTTCTAAAAATGAAAATCTTTATGTCTCTTCTATCATCAGAAAAAAAACCTGTAACTGATTTGGTTAAAATACAATGGAAATATTCAAATTCTTTTTTCTTGTCGGTAGCTGAATTTCGGAATATTCTGTATATTTTCAATAGTAATATGCTTGCTATTTTTAAATTCATTATAAATATATACGTAATTACGTCTATTGATTTTCATGCTATTGCCGTATTATATGTCAAGCAATGCATTACTTTGGTATGATTTTGTATCTTTCTTTTCTCGATAGACTTTCTTCGCTTATCTTTTTCTTTTTGCCTATTGCTATGAATATTGTTGTGCTTTCTTTTTCTTTCTGTTTTTGGTAATATCTAGATATTTGGTTTTCATTACTTGTTTTTTTGTCCTTATCATTTTTCCTTGAGTCGATACCGAGAGATTTATATATTATTAGAGTGCTCTACTTCTACGAAGGACAGAAACGTCAACTATACATATATTTTCTCGTGAAGATGAATGAAAATCAATGTGTTGGAATAATCGGCTGTGGAAATATGGGTCTTGCTATTGCCCATCGTTTAACTTTTTCTGGTTTTACTGTTTTAATGGGAAGTCGAAATCCAGATATTCGACAACATGTCAATTTTGAAATAACTTCAATTATGGATTGTATTAATCGTTCATCTATTATATTTATTGCGACTCATGCTGAACATTATACTAATACTCTTATTTCACCATTAGAACATAATCCAACATTATTTGATGAAAAAATTTTAATTGATGTATCAAATCAACTAGATAGAAGACCAGATGAAGATGAAGTATCAAATGCTGAACGTCTTCAAATAGCTATACCGAATGCATATGTTGTTAAAGCATTTAATACGATATCATCATTCGTTATGGAAAGTACAACAGCAGGTGAACCACGAAGTGTCCCTGTTGCTAGTAATCATTCATTGGCAAGAGATAAAGTAATAATGCTTGCTCGAGAAATGAATTTCGATTCATATAATGGTGGTTCACTTCGAACTGCTCGTCATTTAGAAAATTATACACGTTCTCTATTTCCTCTTTGGAAAAAACCATTAATTATAGCTATAGTTGTTATATGTATTTGGTTAACTTACACACTTTATATGAAATTTATAAGTACAAAAACAACATCATGGAATCAATTATTTTTACATATGACAAATAAAACTTTATGTACGAGTGCTATAACTATGTTAGCTCTTGTTTATATGCCATCGAATTTAGCATGTATATTTCAGTTAGCATATAGAAATAAAGAACGACGATTTCCCATATGGCTTGATACATGGTTAATTAGTCGAAAACAACTTGGTTTACTCACATTTGCTATCGCATTATTTCATGTTCTTATTACTTTAGTTCTTATGTCACCTGCTTATTATACAACATGGTTTCATCCTGTTATAATTACATTACCATCTAATAAAAATGAAACAAAAATTATTGTTCAAAATAGTTTGATGACTTGGAAAGGTGAATTAGCATCATCAATGGGTATTTTAACATTACTTTCAATGTCATTATTAGCATTAGCAAGCATTCCAGCACTTGCTAATTTATTAAATTGGCGAGAATGGAGATTTATTCAATCAAAAATAGGCACATTTACATTATTATGTGCTATTGGACATGTATTTGCTATGGCTACACCTCGTTGGATTGAACTTGGATTTGTAAAATCACTTACATCAGTTGGATTTCTTTGTGTATTTTTTCCTCTTATAACAATTTTGATGAGATTTTTATTTTGGTTACCTTGCTTTAGTCGACCAATTCGACGAATTCGTCGAGGAGAAAACTCAAAAACAAGTAGCTTAAGCATTCTATGAGTGCGTGTGTGTGTTTATTTATTCTTTAATATTTCTTTACCTTTTCATGTCAATCCTAATGAGAGTTAAAATAAATATGAAAAGTATGTTAAGAGATTATAAACATTAATCTTAAATAATGAGATAAAAGCATTAAATGAAAAACAGATATGTCTGTGTTGTCATCTAGAACAGCTTCTAGTCAAGATAAAACCCAATGATAAATGTCTGAAAAGAAGAATACAAGAGACAATGCTATTTTTGGAAAAGCTCTAATGGGAATACATATTAAATCAGTCAAAGAACTACTAATGAATTATCTTTATTGTCAATAAATGCATTTCATCAATTCGTTCACTTTGTTACGAGAAAACATATCCACTCCGTTTGTCTCTATATGTAGAAAGTTACTAGTGTAGTGTAATTTCAAATGAAATTCTCTTCAAGTTTAGATTTATTCAAGATAACAAGTTTTTAGTAGATTGCTCTTGCTGAAATTCAGTTTTCAGAAAAAAAAACATAGTTGAGCATTTCAACCTGGAACTTGTATATATGAAGGTGACCATTAGAGTGTCTCCTGTTTAACGTTCTATCAATTTTGATATCGAATTGCCAAAAATACGAAATTGTCAATACATCTACATTTCTCTTTCATGAAGGATTAAGATATGAATGTAGTTTAATAAATCCACATATTGGTAATACGATATCCAAAACAGATGGAAATTTATACATGAGATAGTCTAATCAGGGACATTCATGTGTACCAAGTTTTAGATCTAAATTTTTAAATACAACTTTTTTTTCAAAAGCTGAACTTCTACAAGAGGAATCTAATCTACCATGTGTAAGTATCCGCACCAATGTCTAGATATCCTGCGCTTGAACGAAAAACGCTGGTAGTTTAATTTTTTCACTCACAGATAGAACAAAGTATGTACTTTCAAATTCATATTCACAATAAAATTTAGGACGTAGTTTAAAAAACTAAATTTTAATGTTTTATAGAACCACTAAAAATGGCTCGTTAACAAGGTAAATATTTTCTTGTTTGAACTTACATCATGTTGACTAAAACAAAATAGTAGTGTTCAAACTTGGAAAAAGAAGGTTGTAGAATCTAGATTTTTTATTATTCTGCGTATCTAGAATAGCCAACAATCAGCATTACAAGCAAAATCAATAGATTCCGTGGTTGTTGACGAAAGTTTTAAACACTTATCAGAATACTACTTTGAAAAATGTCTAAAATATGTAGCTTCTTGCATTCTGCAAGAATACGTATGAAAAGTTAGAAAAATACGTTGTATGAAGTTCATAAATAGCAGAACAAAAATTGCTTACAAAATTGAACCCAGTGCCAATAATGACGTTATTAGAGACTTGAATAACTGGAAGGATTGCATCCATTTGACTTAAGCTTTTTTCCCATCACAACTAATATGACTACTCAAAATTTATGTCCCATTTGAAAGTATTACAATAAACACATATCCAAGATATGAAAATAAAATATCTAGTTTGCTTTATTGGTAAATGAAAAAGTTAGGCTTCGAGCATTTTTCATTGGAGTACAACGGATGTCGACATTTGTGCGGATAGTTATGCAGCATCGGTTGCTAAAAACTCGCTATCTTGATCAAATCTAAACATGAATAAGAATCTTGTGGAGGTTCACTACTTAGTAATTTTTGCATATGACTGACAGTTCAAAATTGAATTGAATTGAATCGAATGTAAAATTTTTTTGACTCAACAACAATCTCTCCATTAACGCTAAAAACACGAGCAATAAAATTCAATTCAGTATCGAATCAATCTTCTTTGTCTTATCCTTTTTGCAAAGTTTATTGATTTCGTTGTGTGAAAAGTCTACAAGTTCAACTGTTGCTGGTATTATCAATGTTTTGCATCTTTTTCTTCGACATCTGGATAGAGTTCTATTATTGGTATAGCCAGTATTTGTTGCTTCGATCGCATAATCAACAGTACAATTATAAGTGAAGAAAGATCTAATAATTTATTTCTCTTCTACATAATCTGATTCGATAATTGAGATGACAAGTGACGTTGGAAAACTTGCCTGAAAATCAAATATTGAAGTTTTCTATTTACAGGCTAAGGAATCGATCCAACTAAAATTACAATATTAATAACTGCAGCTCAGATCAGAGAATCGAAATAGAGTTCGATTGAAAATAAAAGTTAATGTACTCCTTTTCCTAATATATGTCTCTTCCTTGAAGATGAAAACTAAATAAGCTTTAATTATGCAAACTCAGAAACTGATACCTTAATCGATCGATAATGAAAACAAAACATTTCTTTATATAAGGCCCAAGTGTTATTTTATACTGTAGTTCTGCTTTTCAAATTTCTCTAAATCGATAAATTTAGCATACAGACAATTGAAAATCAAAGTGAAATTTTATGTGCGACGGAGATACATTTTACTTATAACAATTATTCGAAAGACGCAGATGTATAATATTACCTTATAACACAACTGTTTTTCTTTTCTATTTATAATGTCAGACGAAGAATTATTTCATTTATTGAAAAACGTTTTTGTATAATAATAAAATAAAAATCTCACATTTCAAAGCAAAAAAAAATTTATTGTAGATTATTGTTTGTTTATAGGCAAAACTAGCAATAATGAGAAAAATCGATAAAATTAATGTCATATCATTGTAGCATTCGTAAGGTTTGCTGATTCTCGTATATTTCGAGGATCATAAAGTAGACCTGAAAAAAGAAAGAAAATATTAAAACATTTCGAAAAAAATTTCATTAAATCTTCATATCTATACCAGCAATCGATGCAGTCATCAATGAAACCATATTACCACCAATCAATGCACGTGGTGCAATTTCCATCAAAGCACGTTTTCGTGTAGGTGCAAATACACTAAGTGCTGCTAATGCAATTCCCATTGAGCCAAAATTAGCAAATCCTAATCAATAATTTCAATTAATAAAATAACAACAAAAAAGTCGATATAAAAAAAACATACCACATAGAGCATAAGTCAAAATAACTACTGAATTTTCCTAAAATGACAAGAAAACTTTTATTTTTGTATTTTAAACATATATATATATATATATGAAATATTTACATCCCATAACATTGAAACATCACTTGGTAATTTTAATGTACCATTTAAATACAATGGAAATGTATTATTCGCCATAAGGGCATCACGTAAACCACGAATTTTACCAAGTTCTTGATAAGCAATAAACTATCAAATAAGAAAATAAATTATTCATATATTAAAAAGTGATGTATATCAATTCTTACTTCATTTATGCTAACTTTAATGCCGATTAATTTCGATGCAAGAAGACAATCACGAAATGATATACCGGTTATAAGTGCAAATGGATAAAAGATTAAACCAAGTAAATATTGAAAATTAACTTCAGGATGACGTACAAGATTAAACAACCATGATATTGATACATCAAGAAAATTGAGAACACTCATAAATGCTATTAAATTTGCAATAAGATAACCACAAATTTTTAATGCATTTCCAGCCCCAGTCATTAAAGCATCAATTGCATTGTGTTGCCCACTGTATTAGCAAAAAAGAAAAATTTACAAATAATGAATAATTTTAATTAGACTTAGTTTCAAGATTTCATATTAAAAAGTATTACAATCTATGTATCTTTATAAACTAGCGAATTTTTGAAAGATATATGCTCCTCTTTTGGTTATATGCTAGAGTATAACCAATTGGGCTCAAATTTTTACAATAGCTAGATTATCGGAAATGATGATGTTTACGATCTCGGTCTTACCTTGTCCCATCGATCTGAATTTGTTTTTGAAGGTCTCTTGAAAAAACCTTAGCAGTGCAATTTCTCGACTTTTAATTAGAAAAATACGGTAAGCACTAGCTGAGAAAATAGATTTTTAGCTGATGCTTCTCGTATTTCTCAAAAAGCTTTAAAATATTTCTGAGGTTTTGTTCCAGGCACCTCCAGAAAAAAATTCAGCTCTATCTGGCAAAGTAAGACGAGAATCATAAACAGACCTGATGCTTTTTCAAGATCTTTGAAAAACGTCTGAAAGTTTGCTTCTAAAATTTTTTCCTCAAACATAGGTGCCGCCGTTTTCGACAGGCTAGCTGTGGTAAGAATTTGAGTCTGATCGATTGTACTCTTGCAAAGGATCAGAAGTAGTTCAAAAGTGAAGATCCATTCCTCACTTACAAATCTAACTTCAACAGGCTACATAAGTTATTGATGATACTTTGTATAGATGTTCGGCTCATAGAAGTACATTCATAAAGAAAGATTCATTTATGCTGCAGAACTTGGGTTGTTTTCATTTGAAAGAGAACTCCTTACCACTTCGAATGAAGAGAAATTGGTTTGTTAATGTTAATTTTTACTTTGTTTTATTTTTTGCATCACCAAAACTTTAAAAGTCTGGAAATCCTTGACAGGATTTTCTAGAAAATTCAGAGTCTCTCTAGCATTGATGATTAACAAACAAATTGATTTCCGCCATCTGAAAGATAATACATATCTTTGTCCATCGTTCGATTATTACCGAGAAACATACAGAACAAGCTTTTTCTTCTTTTATTTTATATAGTCTTCTTATTATAATTTAAGGCGACTCTGCCGCCTTTCTTTACCCAAAAAAGCTTTTTCAATTTCGAGATGGACTTTTAATTATATAAAGGTATTGGATTCTAAGTAAAGCATACCTTAGCGGTACATTTTGTACAGTTTCCCATGATGTTTTTGTTTTATGTGTTTCTGGTAACAAAAGTTTCGCAAATCCAAGTGCGCCAGGCGCAGCCATAACACTAGCAGCAATTAAATGGTTTGCCGGAACACCAAAAAGTATGAATGTAGCAAGAACAGATCCTAACATAATTAACTTAAACTAAGAAAAAAATATGATTTTCAATTTCAAACCTGCCATTGTTGCAAAACCACCAACTAATACAGCATGAAGTTCAGATGTTGTCATGTTCGGTATTAATGGCATAATCAACAATGGTGCTTCGCTCATACCAACAAATATATTTGCAGCTGCATTCATTGACTATAAAAATATATATTAAATGTTTGTCTATGTATATATGCAGGATGGTCAATCTGATCGGATACTCCAATTTCTTTTTTTTATAGCATAACTTCTATCATATATAACAAACATATGATTTCTTTCACCAGTTATAATACTAATGATATTGTTTCGTATATATATCTTGTTTAGAGTCAAAATAATCCAGCGTTTTCATAAAATGCACTTTCATGTTTGCCGACTACATGAATTATGCAGAGCAAAGCTCTAAACAATCAAGATGTAGGTGTATAGGGGCAGAGCTACCGTGTTATGCTATTTAGGAGAGGAAAGAAAGTCTCCCAAACTAGGGCGTGGATGTGAATTGACTCTTCACTCATCCCTCAGCCATGCTCAGATTCACACTCATCCTCAGTTGAATATCTTGCTGCTTTAGATAGCAAGCACGAATTATAAATAGAGGTGTAAGCCATCCAGCTGCGCCGCTGCCGCCACTGAATCGAAGATAGTTTTACGAATTTTCTAGCCGCTACCGCTGTGAAAAGGTTAGTTCAACCGTTGCGCCGCCGCCACGAACGCAAATTTTTGATAATTGTATGATGCGCCGCCGCCACTGACATTAATACTTGAGCAAAAACGTTTTTTTTCTTTGGTTGTCAAAGCCGCCGCCGCCGGTGTAGAAAAATTTAGTAGGCGCCGCCGCCATGGAAAAAAATTGAATTATTAAAACAGCCGCCGCCGTTTGACCCTTCGGCTTACACCTCTAATTCTAACAAACAGGTTTGATAAAAGTAGGTTTCAGGAAAAGCTTTTATGAGGGCATCTGATTACTTTTCGAACAAGATATGTAATCGAAACCATAGCAAACTATCAGCACTACAGCAGCATTACAATTGGTGAAAAATATCATATGCTTCTGATATAATGTAGGAGCTGTGCGATTAATAACTGATGTATTCGATTAGACTAATTTCTTCCATATATATGTTGAGAACAAAATTAGATTTCTAGTTTACATCGCACAAAATTAGGGTTCGACTAAAGATAAATTCATCCAGTCATGGGTATTGCTCATAAGCAGAATGAAACTAAAAAAATGTTTATCTCTAGTCGATTCTTAATTTTCTCGAGTCAAAACAAGAATTCCAATTTTACTTTCTAACATATATATATATATAAACTATGAATAGATACTTCAGCTGCTGTTGTATTCAAACACTTCTGCATAATCCATGCAATTTTTCCTATAACATATTGCATAACGCCGTAATAATAAAGAACGTTTATCACGGATCCAAGAAAAATAATTATTGAAGTAATCTTCAATCGAAAAAAGAGAAATAAAAAATTAATCAATCAAGAACTTTTCATTATGAATAAATCTACTTTAAAAACATAAAAATGATCTTCATAAGAAGCCCCGAAAACAAATCTTGCTCCGGCGTCTGCGTTACTAAATAATAATAATGATTTCATTAAAAAAATTCATTAAAAAAAAAGTTTTTTTACTTAATAAATTTTGTTACTTCCGCTCCAAGAAAATCAAAAAGTTCAAAGCCAGCGTCAACTCGAATAACAAAAACAGCCAATAGAAATTGTATAATAAATGAATACAACACGGTTTGCCATTGGATCTAATTTACCATGACACCAAAATCAAAAATATACTTCATATTCTGTTCCAATTAAAGTATTTGTCCTACCTACTCGATGAGGAAATTTTGAACCTATTAAAATAAAATAAAATAAAATTCATAATTCTCTTCTGTTTTATTGTTAATTTCAATATTTAAATACCGAGTGTTCCAAGTATAATTAATACAAAAATGCCAATAAGTGAAACTAAATTTCTTACTTGAGTTACTGTTAAACCAATATAAATAGCAACAGCAAGAAAAACTAAAACATGTGCAACCCTATGTATCAAAGAAAAGAATATGATTAAAAAAATGTATATCTAAATAAAAAGAAAATATTATTTACCATGTGAATCTTTTCCATAGTTTGTGAATTCGGATCCATACTGGATTATTCCCAGTTCCTCTTGAAATAAATTTAAATAGACGTCCTAATAAACGTCGAAGAAAATTTTCCCATGCAATAAAAAAAACACCAATAACAACAAGAATGAATAGAGCAAAACCTAAAGAAAAATTTGATATCGATCACGATTCAAAATCGATAAATCAATACCTTGATTTCCATAAAAAACATTTCCACGTATAGGGAAAGCAGGTGTTCCAAAGTTTTCACTCATAGCAAAACCAAAAAAAATTATAAAACCAACTACAAGCAATATTTTTATTGCATTAAATGCCACTTTCTATTGAAAAATTATAGCAAGATAAATATTATTCTCGTTGTCAACAAACAATGGATTTGACTATTTTTCGAATAGCTTTGGATAGAAACCATATATAGACCTGGCCTTTTCACTATTCAAGAGAGTAAACGATCCTGAACCATTCAAGTCTACCGAAATCTCATTGACCAATAACTGACTAGTCAGGTGAGTTGTCTGCGAAGACTTTGAAAAAGATATTCTAAAGCCATGTCCATTGAATTTTGACTAATCGATAGAAAAAAATTCTTCTTTTTCGATCTATATAAATCCTAACTTTCTAGCATATTCCATATATTTTCGCGAGACCTCCAATTTCAGCAAATTGACCTTGGAAGACTCCAAAAGAGCTCCAAGGAGTAGTAACTTAAAGCGACCTGAGACCAGTGGCGACGATCATAATCCTAAAACGTGTATTGAAAGCACACTAGAGGTAGTATCAACTCATTTTTTAGCTTTTTCCACTACGAAAAACCAAGTCAAGTCTAATTGGTTATATTCGAATGTAAAATCCAACGGAAAATGACTTCAGAATATCTTTTTCAAAACTTTTGTCGAGAACTCACATGACTAGTCAATTGTTGACCAACCAGAGTTCGATATACTTAGATAGCCTAGAATCTTCTCTCTTAAACAGTGAAAACTCTAGATCTCAATATTGTTTCGATGAAAAGTTATTTAAAAAACAGTTGGACGCATTGTTTTTTGACAACAACATTCCAAAAATAATGATTTTCTTACTGATTCTTTCATAATTGTTCGAACCAAAAATTGATGCATACTCAATACAAATAAACCGAGTTTATGTCCATCTCCTGTTAGTTTTTCAAATCCTGCATTATTCTTATCTTCATCATCATCGTCATCTTGTTCTTCTTCATCATTTTTTATTTCTAATTTTGTTGTTACAATTGTTCCATTTCCAAGATTTGTTATTGATGGTCGTTGATCCGAAAATACAGGATTTTCATAAGCAGCTGATTTCTAAATGAAATAATTATATTCACTTATATCTTCTGTTTGTTAAATACCTGATCAACTTTATTAGATCCAGTCGGTGATATCACACGTTGTGAATCATATTCAGTCAGTTCATAATTATTTGCATCGACAGCAACCTTAAAAAGTTTGTTTTTCTTTTTATATTTTGTTAATTTAAATAACTTACTTTTGTCATTTTATTTCTTTTTCTTTTATTGTTTTTATGTATATCCAACTGTTACTGATAAAAAGAATTAACTGAATTTAACAAAAAAAAAAAAAAAAAAAAAGAAAAATACTACAAAAGATGACATACAAAAGATATATTTGCCTTAAGATCAATATAGTTTCAAGAGAGCCAAAAAAATTCGAAATCTTGTGTTCTCTACCTCGTTTTTTTCTTCTTTTTTATTGCTTATATCAATGTAATCCCACTTTTGATATCTCTCTCATAAATATAATTCGACTTTTATTTTTTTTTTCTATTTTTAGTATCACATGATAAGATACTGCGAAGAAAAAATGAAAGAGAATTTGCACATACCGGATTCTCTTTTTTGTCAAATAGGAGATGATATTTAATGTAATAGAAAGTGAATACTAAAAATATAAAAGATTTGAAAGCTTCGTTATAATATATATATATATACGTATGTGTGTGCTCATTTCATCTTTTCTCAATGTTCATTTTGTTCTATTTTCTCGATATTCACTAGTATTGTGCATACTATTCTTCTTCACGCCTCGCTAAACTTTTGTATTCCTTTCGTTCATTGTCCTCATACGATTGACCGATGTATCACCACGGTCAATTCATTTTTTTTTCACTGTGAAAGTTAGCTTATCTCTTATTCGAATAAAGAGACATGTTCTCTTCTTAATATCCGAAGCAAAAGAAAACTATATGACTAAAAACGACTTACAATTTTTATTATCAATTGATTACATTTCTGAATTTCAATGCGAAGTTTTGTTTATTATTTGTTCTTTTGAGTCGAGTACAAATCTTATCTTTATCTTCCATTTACTTTTTTTTCTATAAGTTTATGATTACAAATAAAATGTTTTACGTTGTAATTGTAATCTGACGTATCATATATGAATAGTATGATTTTTGTTGTCAAAGAGTAGTTGTTGCTAGACATTATCGTATTGTCAATTATATTCAATGAAGTTAAGGAACATGTTCAATCTGCACAATATCCAATGTGTTTAATAATACAATGGTTTTCTTTGGTGCACAAAAGAAAAACAAAGATAGATTCATTGATTATTTCTTCTCTGTTATTTGATTACAATATGAGTTGACATTCTTAAATCTATTCTTTCTTGGTTTATGTTTTTCTTGATCGATTAGTCAACATTCTTTTTAAAGTTAAAGTTCAAATTAGATTGTTTTTCTTCTCATGTAAAAGATTCCTCTCTGACCTTGAAAACAAATACCTCATGATGTCTACATATGCATCTACTTGAATGTGTGTGTTTTGTTTGTTTATTTCTACACAACGACAGTTAACCTTGACATGACCACATGTGGTTCACATGAACCTCGGTCAACTTCATCACACCGTTATAAGTATCCAATATTAGTTGAACCCGGTTGTCCTCCAGATATCCTGTAGTGAAGACTGGTGAATTATGCTGATAATATCAGCCAGTTACACCCAACTGATTCTTTATGTATATAGATCGTCTCGAAGTACATGTGAACGCTTTTTGATTATTTCGGGTTAACCTAGATCTCCAATGAGATTCATTATTATCTTATGCATTCATAACATTTAATCGAATTATACCATTTTAGTTGTGCGTTATAGATATTGAGTATAGCAAATTGATAACATCAATTTATCATGCGTAATTGTTCATCTGATGTAAAGTCATTCAAATTGAACGTGAACACTGACTAGTGACATATGATTTCAAACGCCTCGAAAATGGAGAATGATAACAATAAAAAATAAATGCGAAAACTTCGGATTTAAATCCGAGAGTTATGTGTACTTCAAAAAGTGAATGAGACAGATGAGTCATCCTAGAATATGTGGACATCAAAATTATCCTGGCAAACCCTTTCTATAAAATACTTGATTTCTATTGGCTACTATCAACCAATAGGATTTGAGGATGAATACAGCTCAGATTTGAACTCTTCGCCTTGATTTACCCTAAGAAAGTCGTTTTTCCTATAACTTGATTTCTATTGGTCCCTGCTCAACCAATGGTATTTCAAGACGAATGGATGACAGATTCGAGTTCTCCGCCCCAAAAAACCTCGAAGTATCATGTCCGTGATCGGAAGGTAGAGCTCCATTTTCGGATCCACTAGAGCGTGGACGAAAACACAACCTATTTCCGTCTGATTATCTTGGCAATAGGTGAGTTAGCCTTCGTGTTTTTTTATGTTTTATATACCATTTTGTAGCTCGTAAAATTCTCTATCGAATGGTATATAATAGTTGGGGTTTTATTTGAGTATGATAGGAAAAGGTTTTTACGAAAGCGGGGATGGGTGGATTTTAGCATCGGAAGCCATAGGAAAAAATGAGTATTTTTGCAATAACTCAGGAACGGCTCGGCCAATCATGCTCATCTTCGAACTCGACCGAGCCATTGTTAAGACTGAATTGTGTAGAAAATTTCATCGCGATTGAACTCTCCTTTCAAAAGTTATCGTGTAAACGGCCGGCCGGCCGGCCGGACATACTGACCGATTCTAGAGTGTACTCACTTTTTGAGTACACAAAAAGAACAAAATATACCACAAGATGTAGCGTGCAAAGCTCTACAATTTACATCGAACAGTTTATTGAAATAAGAAAAAAGGAATTTCTCATTGGTGTAGAAAAATGATCCTTCAGCAGCGTCGAAAATTGGTCATACCGAATTTTGCTTTTTTTGAAAACAAAAGTACACAATTAAAATAAACTTTACTTTGTAGATTGTAGAGCTTTTGACGCTGCATCTTGTGGTATATTTTGTTTTTTTTAAACAATGCATTAAGTGTTGCAAAATGAAATGAAAAACGGTAGTTTTTTTGTCCGAGGGAGAGTTGATTTAGAAATCTTATGTCTGACGAAAATGTTATTAGTATTCAAAGCTAAAATAGAATTTGTAATTCTATGAAATTTCACGTCCGTCAATAGATACCATAAGAAAGAAAACTTATAAAAACAAATAGTAAAGAACAAAGTTTCAAGGCCATCCGTATGCGATTCAAATATTAAGCACGATGGATTTACTTCAACTATTGTAGAAAACCCAAGGAGGAAAGAACAAAATTCCGTACTTCAAGGATATCTCCAAACTATCCTATGAAGTTTCTTACCTGTTTTAGTTTGACTGTCAACGTTTGTCACGAGCACACTAGTTTCATTTTATTCGATATAAGTGTATCTGATACTAAAGCTTAAGAGTGAGTTTCTGAAAGAGTCAGACACCGGCGAATGGTGTGACATCTCTGAATTCGCTGATTTTGAATGTGGATGTAGGCGATTCAACAGGTTAGTCTGACCCACCCACGACATCTGTTGAAATTGAGATGTAGAGAGAAGAAAAGTAAATGATAAATATCTATTTATATTCTTTTGTTGTAAAGACATCGACACATTAGAAGACTCGGGGTCTTCTATTATGTTCCCCAAAAAAAGTCAAATTTTTTGACAGCTTTGCCAACAAATCTTAGTTTCAATTCATTTTTGCTCAATACATCGTAAGTAAATGAGCTTATCTCACTTATTCCACACTAGTAAAATGAGAAAGAAAAAGATATTATGCTGTGAAAAAAAGCCAGGCTATCGTTGGTGATACGTATTCTTAGAACAATACAGTCAACATACCCTAACATCTTAGTATGATGCCTAATAGCATTCTTTTTCTTAAAGAATAAGACCTATCACTGGCAAAATTAACCTTCCCAATAGCTAAATAACTAAAAAAACAAAAATTTATTTTTTGTCAAACTTACTCAAGTCAATTGCTTATGTTGAGGCTTGATTAGTATAGATGGAATTCGTTCACAGTGAAATCTATCACTAGCATAATTATTAGTCGTAAGCTAATCTCAATGATTACAATTTTCTTGAGCAGAAACAGTTTATAGAAAAACAATAGTTGAATACACATTCTGTGTTTTCTTTTTCGTCTGTTTCTAAAATGCCATTAGATCTTATTGAGAAAAGAAATGCGTTCTTCGACTCATAAGAAGTACTTGAAGAACACATACCGACATGTATACATAAAGTTATGTTTTCTTCAATTAGGAAGGATTGTTTTGTGATGAAAACGTTTCTGAAATTTTAGAAGAATGTCAAAGATGAAGAGACCTTTTAACTAGTACATAACAAAATTTTACCTAATGTGTTACTATTTTACAAAGATCTCTTCATTGTTATACGCGTGAATGTGCACTGCGCCCATTATATCCTATGATTATGGGAACGACTTTTTTAGCATAGAAAATCGAAAGAAGTTTTTCTGAGTAAGTTGCAGAGGAGCACTAAAATGACTTCATGATATTTTTTGAATAAAGAAGTGCATTCTTCCATACACGGTTGTTTCCTGTTGACTGTTTCCCAACATTTTTCTAGCTCGGATCTGACGCGTTATTATGATAACCCAAGCATACTACTGTCCATACTAAACTTAGATATCATTAAGAACTTAAATACTGTTATAGTCTTCTTTTTTTCTTCTGTTCTTTTGAGATATATATTGGTGTTTTCTACCTCACCATTGTTTTGTCCAACCGTCTTAAGTTTTTTCCTAGTTCTTTCATCTATAAATAGTTATCGTTTAGAAAAAAATAAAAAGTTATTACTATCGATCAATTCGATCGATAACATCCCGCTCACATATAGTAAAAAATCCAATAAGCACTAGAAATTTTTTTAAATCGATTTTCTGAGGTGAGAGGTCTTCTAATATGTCTTTTGTCTCATTTATCCAAGGGGGTGGAGTCTTCTAATATGTTGATGGCTTTATTTCTCATTGATATGGATGACTTTATGTCGTATGAAGTATTTCTTTATAAACGGGAACAATATTCTTATCGACTCGTCCTGCTTTCTACTGTTGAGATAATATCAAATTTCAACAACATCTGGATATGATATGTTCATAAATTCCATTGGCGCTTTGCATTGTTCTTTAGTCGACTTATTCCGAGTTTCTCGTGGTCTTTTTAATAGGCTTTTTCTTAAATCGCCATGTCTTCTCTGTATGATTGTATAATTGTTTGACATTTTTATTTAGAACCCCAAGAATTTGCTGCACCTGGTACTTGCAATCAGCTCAATGAAAATTAATTATTTCTCCAGTCGTCACTGATCAGCGAAACATCTTGAAACGTTTAGGATCAACAGAGCAGAGTAGATGAATACAACTGTTGTCATGAGCAGTCATATATTCAATGACTTATTCGTCATCAATCGTAACAGGACTTGCATTTGCAAGGAGAAAAATTATTGAACCGAATCTTAACGGCCGTCGTATTTGTTCGTTTCCTCTGTCATCTACGATCTGATGAAGAACTTCTAAGCTTTACTAAAAAAGAAAATGATAAACGAACGATATTGTCCTAAGAATCGTTCGTCTGTCATGCAATCTTGAAATGCTATGCCAGATTCAATGATTTGCTTCGCAGTAGACAAAATTCTACTATAGAATGTTTGTACCAAATGCCACAAGTGTCGTTCTGGCTATTCATTTTCCATACGGTATTCAACAAACAGATGACGCTCGCACCTTGGTTCTGATGTCAAAGAAAAATAAGCGAACAGAACCCTGATTAATTTGATTCATTTGATATGCTATCTTGATTTTGCATAGAAGTTCAGTATTTTGCTTTGAAATAATTAACATAGATGGACACGATCATTGGCATGTTTTGAATCATTCATGTGTCATGTGACAATATTCATGAACTACTCGATTGAAATATGTACGCTATTATCGACAAAATAGATGAACAGAACCTGATGGCGATGATGATTGTTCATTTTATCGGTCACTCACAAAAAATTGACTGCTTTCCTAACATTGGTTTCATGTCGGTTTAATAGACGAACGAAATCTTCAAGGCATGTGGCACGTGTTGATGCATGGGATATATGATCTTCATTCTTGGACAGCTAGCAAAATATCGTCTACAAGTGATCGAAATTAATGAACTAGACTAGTGGGTAGTGATGATTTCTTTTTCATGTGATTGATGATCACTCTCATAACTCGACAATTACTCATCGATATGAATAAAATAGCTGAAGAATCTGTGTGCAATAAGAATGATTTCGTTTTCATGTGATTGTTGAGCAACTCAGCGACGACTGGAGAAATAATT